ATAGAACTGTTTGGCCATAATTACCATCGTTATGTTTGGAGGAAAAAGGGGGTGGCTTACAAGCCAAAGAACACCATCCCAACCGTGAAGCACAGGGGTGGCAGCATCATGCTGTGGGGGTGCTTTGCTGCAGGAGGGACTGGTGCACTTCACAAAATAGATGGCATCATGAGGAAGGAAAATTATGTGGATATATTGAAGCAACATCTCAAGACTTCAGTCAGGAAGTTAAAGCTTGGTCGCAAATGGCTCTTCCAATTGGACAATGACCCCAAGCATACTTCCAAAGTTGTGGCAAAATGGCTTAAGGACAACAAAGTCAAGGTATTGGAGTGGCCATCACAAAGCCCTGACCTCAATCCTATAGAAAAGTTGTGGGCAGAACTGAAAAAGCGTGTGCGAGCAAGGAGGCCTACAAACCTGACTCAGTTACACCAGCTCTGTCAGGAGGAATGGGCCAAAATTCACCCAACTTATTGTGGGAAGCTTGTGGAAGGCTACCCGAAACGTTTGACCCAAGTTAAACAATTTAAAGGCAATGCTACCAAATACTAATTGAATGTATGTAAACTTCTGACACACTGGGAATGTGATGAAAGAAATAAAAGCTGAAAGAAATAATTCTCTCTACTATTATTCTGACATATCACAAATAAAGTGGTGATCCTAACTGACCTAAGACAGGGAATTTTTACTAGGATTAAATGTCAGGAATTGTGAAAAACTGAGTTTAAATGTATTTGGCTAAGGTGTCTGTAAACTTCCGACTTCAACTGTATGTATGTATGTATGTATGTATGTATGTATGTATGTATGTATGTATGTATGTATGTATGTATGTATGTATGTATGTATGTATGTATGTATGTATGTATGTATGTATGTATGTATGTACAGTACCGTTCAAAAGTTTGGGGTCACTTAGAAATGTCCTTCCATTTTTTTTGTCCATTAAAATAACATAAAATTGATAGTAACAGTAACAGACTTGAGGGGTAATGAATGGGTGAAGACTGGCTGAGACCAGATTTGAAGAAAAGGAAAAAGGGAAGGAGGGAACAGCAGGAACATATACTATATCACTTAAATATACTGTGTCACTTACAAAGGCATTTTTCAACAAATAGCTGTGAATGGTTGTGAATTTGAGGGAAAATACAACAACCTTCCTGAAAATGTTGTCAATATAGTCAATCAGAACTCAAATACCAATATTTTTTCTGTATTACTTTAAACTGTTGGTCTAACTATAACAGTTCAGAAAGTCAACACCAAACCCCTTGTTTAAAACCATTTAAATGTCAAAACCCATTATTCTATTTATGTTCCCTTCACCATGTTTGGGTAGTACATGGTCTTCAAATTACTCATTTGATTATATATATTAGTATTTTCTCCCTCTTTATTGAGATATAAAGTTATGAATGAGATAGAGGAATACAGGGTTTGAATCCATGCCGCAAAGGGCCATGTGTGGTCCAGAGTCAGCAGCATTACTACTAGACCAGACTATGGCACAGAATTAATAATGTCTAATACTCAGTTAACTTAAAAGGAGTCGAGGCAATCAAAGTCAAGAAACTGCTGACGTGGTTACACAATTTAATTGCAGTATCAATTCATTAAAAAGTATACACTACCGTTCTTAAGTTTGGGGTCACTTAGAAATGTCCTTGTTTTCGAAAGAAAAGCCATTTTGTTGTCCATTAAAATAACATCAAATTGATCAGAAATACAGTGTAGACATTGTTAATGTTGTAAATGGCTATTGTAGTGGAAATGGCTGATTTTTAATGGAACATCTACATAGGCGTACAGAGGCCAATTATCAGCAACCATCAGTCCTGTGTTCCAATGGCACGTTGTGTTTGCTAATCCAAGTTTATCATTTTAAAAGGCAAATTGATCATTAGAAAACCCTTTTGCAATTATGTTAGCACAGCTGAAAACTGTTGTACTGATTAAAGAAGCAATAAAACTGGCCTTCTTGAGTATCTGGAGCATCAGCAATTGTGGGTTCGATTACAGGCTCAAAATGGCCAGAAATAAATAACTTTCTTCTGAAACTCATCAGTCTATTCTTGTTCTGAGAAATGAAGGCTATTCTATGTGAGAAATTGCCAAGAAACTGAAGATCTTGTACAACGCTGTGTACTACTCCCTTCACAGAACAGCGCAAACTGGCTCTAACCAGAATAGAAAGAGGAGTGGGAGGCCCCGGTGCACAACTGAGCAAGAGGACAAATACATTAGAGTGTCTAGTTTGAGAAACAGGCGCCTCACAGGTCCTCAACTGGCAGCTTCATTAAATAGTACCCGCAAAACACCAGTCTCAACGTCAACAGTGAAGAGGCGACTCCGGGATGCTGACCTTCTAGTCAGAGTTGCAAAGAAAAAGCCATATCTCAGACTGCCCATCTTAATCTTTTATTTTTATTGGCCAGTCTGAGATATGGCTTTTTCTTTGCAACTCTGCCTAGGTCAGCATCCCGGAGTCGCCGCTTCACTGTTGATACAAATCGAGGCAATGGTGTGTGTTAGGACCATACGGACGCCTCCGAGAAAAAAAGAGAGAGAAAAAAAAAGTATATATATATATGTCCCTCCCACTTCTAAAACCAAAGTTGAACCCCTGGGAATAATAGTGGGAGGGAGCAATAGGAAGAGACGGGGAGGGCGAAAGAGTACAGACTAAAAACACTGTGTCACCCTTCAGAACTTCAATAGAAAAAGTTATGTAATGGTTAACCATTTACAGTATTACTTACTGTGTATAACTTTGTGCGGCTGGTCACATGATGGACCTGGTCCTGACTTTAACAACGTAACACATGTTCCTGGGGTTGAACATTACAGAAAAGATTTGCATAAAACAATTTTGACAATTCGTTGTAAGATGCAATTTTAATGCTATGTTTGCCCTTCTGCTAAAACAAGGTCACTTAGAACAACCTGGACTCAGGGGTAGACGTAACATAGTAAAAGTAAATCTGGGATACTTTAATTTGTTTGTGGATGTCCATCATCCATTTCATATGATATGTTAGGAATTGCAATTCGTACAATATGTTACGAATTACAATTTGTACAATATGTTAGGAATTTGCTAAACATATGATATGTTACACACACACACAAGGTGGGGACTAGACTGATTCGTGTCTCCCGAGTGGCGCAGTGGTCTAAGGCCCTGCATCGCAGTGTTAGCTGTGCCACTAGAGATCCTGGTTCGACCGGGCCGCGACCGGGAGACCCATGGGGCGGCGCACAATTGGTCCAGGGTAGGGGAGGGAATGCTAAAGTTGTATGTGATGAGTTTCAAACAAGCAACCTTTGGGATGCTAGACGTTCGCGTTATATGCTCACCCAAACTTATCCTTTAAGCATGACACATCATTTAGTCCGAAAAAAGGAATGCCAAGTATGTCACAGACCTTTTGTAACATCGGTTTATATCGTCAACTGTCACTCCCAACAGTCTGAAGAGGCTTTGTCTCATTGTCTCCAAAACTTTGTTTGCGCTCATAATGAAGACATTACACTATAAAATGAGGTTCAGTCTAGAACAGTTGATCAAATTAACAGAGAGCAGTGCACACACTTCAAGGGCTATCTATGTTGAATGACCCTTACCCCCATCTGAAGCAGCTTTATAATTGTGCAACAAACAATGAACCTAGATAGAAGCAATGACAAACTGATAGAAGCCACTTGTTTGAATCCATTCCATTTACTCCATTTCAACCATTCCAATGAGCCCAACCTCCCACCAGCCTCCACTGGTATAAATGTATCAAGCCTGTTGTCAGAATAGAATCTTCCCTGTCCATGTAATGTTATTCAATGTGATCTAAAAGGCAAAACTGGTCCTAAATCAGCACTCTTACGCCGAGACGCTTGATGCATACTGCCCCAGAAGACCTAGTTCTTATGAATCCCAATGATGTTGCAACTACATGGCTGTATTGAGCAATAACCCAGCACCGTGAAAGCACCCTGTCAGCAGTTGTGGAAGATCAGGTCATGTGAACTGAAGTTGTTAGGAAGGTTACTTTATTACTGTAGTCTTTGATTTTCATTAGCTGTAAAACGGTTTCCACTTCACAGTTTTAGCTTAATAACCTGTGTATGGTTAGATGTAGCTACTGATTTTGTGTAGTTATTTCTAGGCTAATGTGAGCAACTTTGATAGACCATTTGTCAACTACAATATGTCATTTGAAACCAAAAGGTGTATCATCAAATACCATTTCTACAAAAGCCAACATTTCTGTCTCTGTCCACTTACTCTATTCCCATACATCATACTGCAAATTGAATTGATGTTTTTAAAAAAGTGTGATAAACCCTGCAGTTTTTCTTTTGACTGCATTCTGGAAAAGGAAAATAATTAGGCTACATATGCTATTGAAACATGTGCTCTTAGAGAATGAAACAGAAGTTAACAGAACTGCGTCAAAAAGTTCAATTCCTTTTATAGCCTAAATAAAATGTAGACCTACGATATTTCTCAATTAGCCTATTATTAGACTGAATGTTAAAATTCTTCTCACGATATAATACACAGACATTTTGCAAAAATAGCCGCTGTAGTTAGACCTGCACTGTAGCATTGCTTTTGGTTGATACTACTGTTTTAGACGTTACCAATAAAATGTTACTTTGTAATAAATATTGATTTCTTCAGGCTGAGATGAAGAGGTCGAAGCGAGACGATTTACTCCGCCCAAAATCTGTCCGCGTGATATAAACCCATTTTTGTGTGGAGGTATATAAGATAGTGTCGAATTACCTGAGGATTTTGATTAGAAGTTTCGTAAAGTTTAGGCTTTTACAAATGTACTGATATATGTGGATGAACGTGGCATTCCGGCAACTTTGTTCGTGTTGTTCACACGCGTACCTGCCCTCTCATTGGCTAGAATGGTCCCACCTGATATTGCCTGTCTTCAATCATTGAGCACATGTATTTCCATTGTTAGAGCAGTCACTCGGCTATCTTGTCAATATAATAAATAATCTTTGCCTTAGGTCATGCGTATGAGAGATCGTCATCAAATGATCCGCCTAGTTCCTTTTGAAATTCTAAACGTGATTGGCTGCGCTCTGTGAGGCTCGATTTCACTGACGCGGTTCGTTTGGAACAATAAATAGAGCGAACAAGGCTTCTTCACCTCCACAATTCTGGGAAGACAGATGAAGAAGTTCTTGCTTCAACAGTGATTGAACGGAACTCTTCTGCCTTCGTCCCGCACTATATACCATTCTGGATTGATAACGTAACACTTGCTTGAACTCTAATAGCAACATAGTCTAAGAAACTCTATTTTTGTACCGTTCATTTTTATATAAAAGAAGAAAATCTGCCAAAATGGAGTCTCAGGTCCGTCAGAACTATCACCGCGACAGCGAAGCTGCTATCAACCGGATGATCAACATGGAGATGTTTGCCTCTTACACTTACACTTCAATGGTAAGGAGACTACAATAGTCTACCAAGAGGACCATTTTGTTGATCTACCTGTGTATTATTATGCCTGGGCCTAAATGCCATTATTTTTTTTGTATTCTACCCCCTCTTTCTCCCCAATTTCGTGACTTTTCTGTAGGCCTAGGCAATTAATAGCCAAGAACCTCAACTCCGTGAAGTACATCTTTGAGTTTTACTTGGCTAGGCTATTAAGAGCCTTCAGGCGTTCAAATGACGCTGGGACTCTATCCTACCTAGGACAGAGGGCGTAACATCTCCTTGACCGGTTAATTGGCTGGTTACAAAGTAGACTAAGGACTAGACTAGACTGATTCATGCCTTTGTCATCAAGCTTAGTTGCCACAACAAGAACAGAATGCTGAGTCATGTTTAGTATGTTTTTCTTGTTTTTTTTAACCACACTGTTTTATGTTTATCCACCCAGGCTTTCTATTTCTCCCGTGACGATGTGGCTCTGCCTGGCTTCGCGCATTTCTTCAAGGAGAATAGTGACGAGGAGCGCGAGCACGCCGACAAGCTGCTTTCCTTCCAGAACAAAAGAGGTGGACGCATTTTCCTCCAGGACATCAAGGTGGGGCCCCTGAGCGTCGAAAACACACATTTACATAGACGAGGGTTTTCAGTTGAAAAGGTTATACAGGGACCCAAATGGTTCCTCTATAGCAGGGGTGTCAAACTCATTTTAGCTCAGGGGCCACATGGAGGAAAATCTATTCCCAAGTGGGCCGGACCGGAAAAATCATGGTGTGTATATATATATATCTTTAAAAAAACAACTTCAGATTGTTTTCTTTGTTTTAATACGATCAACATACAACATAAAGCTGGAGCCTGAGGACAGTGTGTCCAAAATAGTACAAGCACAACATCACTATTAATCATAAAACACGTCAAGTTTATTTGAAAATTCTAAAGAAAAAGAACACACAAACACACAATGCCTCAGTGATTAACAGAACTGTTTCACAGATCACAGAACTATATCAGGGTGTCATTTCTCAGGCAGAAATGTAGATAAAAATAATGAAATCCTGTTCCCCAAACAAGTGCAAGAACCACAGAGTCAAGAATAGGTTAAATATACAAATAAAATCAATTAAAAACAATAGCACATCAACATAAAAACATATAAACATAAATCTGAAAGCGTTGCTCAAACTCCCGTAACAGTCCCGTTATTTTATCTTTGAACCGCTTCATGTCTGCCACATGTTGGGTCGCGCACACATTTTTCAGACAGGGGAAGTGAGCTGCATCACCACCGGCAAGTTGCGTCTCCCACAATGACAGCTTCAACTTGAAAGAACGTATGCTGTCATAATACTGCGTGACAACTTTGTTGCGCCCTTGCAGCTGTTTGTTCAAGTTATTCAGGTGCTCTGTAACATCCACCATAAATGCAAGGTCCTGCATCCATTCTGCGGAATGAAATTCTAACACTGGTTTGCCCTTTTCTTCCATGAACTGTTCAATTTCTTCTCGTAAATCAAAGAAACGCCTCAGCACAGCACCTCGGCTTAACCATCTTACCTCAGTGTGGTATGGCAGGCCATAGATGTGGTCTTTCTCTCTGAGAAGGCTGTCAAACTGACGGTGATTCTGGATCGGATGAAATTAACAGTTTGGATGACCACCTTCATGACGTTATCCATCTTTAATGACTTGCAACACAAAGCCTCCTGGTGCAAAATACAGTGAAAAGTCAAAAAATCACGTCCTCCATTTGCAGATTGCACTTTCTCTCTGAACTTTGTCACAACGCCTGCTTTTTTCCCGATCATTGAGGGCGCACCATCTGTAGCCAGGCTGACAGCGCGGGACCAGTCCACTCCGACCCTGTCCAGCGCGCCGACGAGTGCGGTAAAAATATCAGCTGCTGTCGTTGTATCTGTCATCGGCACCAACTCCACGAACTCCTCGGTGACGGTCAATGTGTCATCAACTCCGCGGATGAAAATGGCCAGTTGTGCAACATCTGTAATGTCCGTGCTTTCATCAATTGCAACTGAAAACGCAATAAATGACTTTACTTTTTGCTTCAACTGGCTGTCCAAATCCACTGAAAGATCGGAAATCCTGTCTGCAACTGTGTTTCTTGTCAGGCTGATATTTGCAAAAGCCTGCCGCTTTTCAGGGCACACAATCTCCGCTGCCTTCATCATGCATGTTTTTACAAATTCACCCTCACTAAATGGTTTTGAAGCCACTGCGATTTCATTAGCAATGAGGTAGCTAGCTTTCACTGATGTCTCGGCTGTGAGTAAACACAGACTGCTGTTTCTTCAGACCTGCCAACAGTTCATTCACCTTCTCTCATCTCCGCTGTCCTTGAAAGTTTTCATATTTGTCGGCATGAAGACTCCCATAGTGGCGACGAAGGTTATATTCTTTTAGCACTGCAACATGCTCTGAACACACCAAACATACAGCTTTCCCATTCAATTCCGGGAATAAATAGGATTACCATTTTTCTTGGAACACTCTGCACTCTGCGTCCACTTTTCTCTTTTTTGACAGAGACATATTGGGGCAATGAGGGTGCCAAAGCGCATAATGTTAAAAGTAGAAGCCGTAATAAATATCGCGGGCAAAACAAAGTAGCTCATTGGCTGCACGTGCTTGACCTACTTGCTCTGCCCCGGTATAAACAGTTTGCTTGCTTAACACAATTGCGCCATCCAGTGGATGCAATTGGAACAGCAGTATATTTTATTGAAAAATTGCAGCGCATTTTTATACTTTACAAAATTATTAAAACGTTTTATTTTTATTTTTTAATCATCTCGTGGGCCGGATTAAACCCGTTTGCGGGCCTGATCCGGCCCGCGGGCCGGACGTTTGACACCCCTGCTCTATAGGGACAAGCCGAATAACCCTTTATGATTCTAGATGGAACCTTTTTTCTAAACTGTAGACTTCAAGTATGGGAGTTGTTTTGAATGAGTAGTCATTAATGCTGAGTTAGTTCATTGAAAGGTACGCCCTATGTGACTGACCTGGTATTAGAGCAAGGTGGCCAAAGGAGATGTCCTGACTGCGTAGGCCTATGAGTACAGGGATTTTTCTGCCATTGAAATCATTGGGTGGGCTGCCTAGTCCAAACAGTAGGGGGAAAAAATATGGATTGTATTTTAAGATGTATATTTCTAGAATGGAAAAACGCTTTTAGTATAAACTAAAACCCGATATACATTTTCTCTCTGCTGCATGGCAAAATGTGTAGAATTGCAGGACATTGGCTTTAAAACTGCAAAGATTTCTCTACTCCATGGAGGAAATTGCCTTAAGTGTCTCTACAGTGCCAAGTTGATCTAGAGAACCTGGAGTAGTCCTGAACACACTGCCTCTATAACCACTGAACTGAAAAAGCGTGAGGGGTGTAACTCAACTCACACTATCCAAACGTTAATAAATTGATATGCAATTTAGCAGACGCTTTTTTCCAAATCGATTTAGCCATGTGTGCATATAATTTACATATAGGTTGCCCCAGCAGGAAGTGAACCATGACCTTTGGCATTGCAAGCGCCATGCTCTACCGACTGAGCCACACAGGACCTATGATATGTGCTTCATAAACTAAAGCATATGTGGTTGTTTGTAGTGACTGTTAAATTGACCCCATCTTGACTTTTTGCTGAATTGTTTCCAGTTTGTTTTATCAACCTATGTGCCAGATATACTGGCTAACTGTGGTGACTGTTAGTAGGTATGCATAGGAACGTCTGCTAATAGTCTCTAACCCTCCTGTGTTCCCTCTGTCCTGTGTAGAAGCCAGATCGTGACGAGTGGGGCAATGGGCTGGAGGCCATGCAGTGTGCTCTGCAGCTGGAGAAGAACGTCAACCAGGCCCTGCTGGACCTGCACAAGATTGCCTCTGACAAGGTCGACCCCCATGTAAGTAATGTCCCCCTTGTTAATGTGGAACTATACGTCACATGTATACATCACATAGAATACAGCCACTGTACTGTCCCAGGAGCTGATCAGGTTGTTGTAGCTCTGCTCACCAATGAAGCCTGCCTCTTCACACAAACACAATAGCCCACAGATGTACAAGAATGCACACTATACAAAAAGATGCAGCCAATGCATAATTTGGACCGCTCCAAACACCTCATTGAGTTAGTTATCTAACCGTATGTCATTACCACCAGGCTCTTGTGTGTAACTGCATCTACAATAGTGTCTGTAGTTATTCTCTTGTCTCACCTATGTTTTCCTTCTTTAGCTGTGTGACTTCCTGGAGTCCCACTACCTGAATGAGCAGGTGGAGGCCATTAAGAAGCTGGGCGACCACGTCACCAACCTCACCAAGATGGATGCTGTCAACAACAAGATGGCCGAGTACCTGTTTGACAAGCACACCCTGGGAGGCCAGAGCTAAACCATGTCCAGGCTACAGCCTCCAGCCTCAGACCAGGACTGGACTCCTGGCTTTTCTGCTCTATTCTGCTGGTTTTGCATCTGTAAGGAGGGGAGAGTTTTGAACTGGTACAGCGCAATGCACAACTGCTGTAATGTTGACAAGTTTGTAAAAAGATCACAAGTTGTTGTTTCTAAATGTTGCCAGCTGTAGTAATGGATGTTCGTCTATTCAGGTGCTTTGAGCTGTCTTACTGAATTTCAATACCTAAAACAAGGGTCCTCTTCACTAGGTGTAACTGGTCATTTTCAATCTGCACAGAATCTGAATAATAAAACCTTTTTTGAGCTGGATTCACTGTTTGTTACTATATGGGACTATATATCAATCACATGGGACCAACACTACATGTTGAATTTATATATTTTTGTTCAGTGTACATGAGCCCAAAGCCCACCATCTTTCATTTCTCTGTAGAAATGATAAATACTGACAATTGTAGGCCTACTATGGTGACTGAGGGTCATAATAGGAAAAGGTTGACATGAGGTTTATAAGGGCTTTTACCATATCTTGTAATAGTGCCATGTCTATTCAGGTCCCATAAAACAACTAAACTCTAGGCCTGTAACAGTGAAATGGGTAACTACAGTCGATTTAGCCTGAGCATTTTAAAAGTATCTCATTAGATGGCCTAGAGGTCATTCAAACCTGTGTAAATCTACTAGCAAGCGGTTATTACGCACAGGTTGTCCCAGGGTTACCGGTTGATGGGGACAATATTTGTGTTCTGAATATATTTCTTAACTGACATGCTACTGCTTATTTTAATTAATACTTGAGTAGTCTACTCTTCACGTTATATTCCATATTCTGAGCCATATGCCTATCCAAGTCTTGATGCATTAGGAGCTTAGGGACTGTGTTATTTGAGGGATACCTGGAGAAAAATGGATGGCCCTCACTTAAGCAAAATATATTTTTACTCAACCCTCCCTGAATGCTTGAAAAAACAAGTGACCCTATATCCAAAATAATAAAAACAAAGTGGATAGCAGAGAACATGCCTACCCTCACTCCTAGGACAGACCAGAGCCTTTAGATATGCAGTTTTAGAAACTGTTCTTTGCCATGTAGGCTAATGCTTACAAAACAAAGTAGCCAGAAGGTTCTCGATTCACATTCCACTGCTGACAAGGGTAGGGGTGAAAAGATCTCCATTATAATAAAAGCACTGCATTAATCTATCTTATTTACGGTCCAGGAAAAGAAATCGCTATTTCATGCCATTCTACATTTTTACACTTTTGTCATTTAGCAGACGCTCTCATCCAGAGCGACTTACAGTTAGTGAGTGCATACATTTTTTTTTTCATACTGGCCCCCCATGGGAATCAAGCCCACAACCCTGGCGTTGCAAGCGCCATGCTCTACCAACTGAGCTACACGGGGCCAATATTCTACAATATTCGACACCTTTTGCAGCAATTACAGCTGCAAGTCTCTTGGGGTATGTCTCTATAAGCTTGGCACATCTAGCCACTGGGATTCTTGCCCATTCTTCAAGGCAAAACTGCTCCAGCTCCTTCAAGTTGGATGGGTTCTGCTGGTGTACAGCAATCTTTAAGTCTTACCACAGATTCTCAATTCGATTGAGGTCTGGGCTTTGACTAGGCCATTCCAAGACATTTAAATGTTTCCCCTTAAACCACTCAAGTGTTGCTTTAGCAGTATGCTTAGGGTTATTGTCCTGGAAGGTGAACCTCAGTCTCAAATCTCTGGAAGACTGAAACAGGTTTCCCTCAAGAATTTCCCTGTATTTAGCGCCATCCATCATTCCTTCAATTCTGACCAGTTTCCCAGTCCCTGCCGATGAAAAACATCCCCAAGCATGATGCTGCCACCACCATGCTTCACTGTGGGGATGGTGTTCTCGGGGTAATGAGGTGTTGGGTTTGCACCAGACATAGCGTTTTCCTTGATGGCCAGAAAGCTCAATTTTAGTCTCATCTGACCAGAGTACCTTCTTCCATATGTTTGGGGAGTCTCCCACATGCCTTTTGGCGAACACCAAACGTGTTTGCTTATTTTTTTCTTTAAGCAATGGCTTTTTTCTGGCCACTCTTCCGTAAAGCCCAGCTCTGTGGAGTGTATGGCTTAAAGTGGTCCTATGGACAGATACACCAATCTCCGCTGTGGAGCTTTGCAGCTCCTTCAGGGTTATCTTTGGTCTCTTTGTTGCCTCTCTGATTAATGCCCTCCTTCCCTGGTCCGTGAGTTTTGGTGGCGGCCCTGTCTTGGCAGGTTTGTTGTGGTGCCATATTCTTTCCATTTTTTAATAATGGTGCTCTGTGGGATGTTCAAAGTTTCAGATATTTTTTTATAACCCAACCCTCATCTGTACTTCTCCACAACTTTGTCCCTGACCTGTTTGGAGAGCTCCTTCGTCTTCATGGTGCAACTTGCTTGGTGGTGCCCCTTGCTTAGTGGTGTTGCAGACTCTGGGGCCTTTCAGAACAGGTGTATATATACTGAGATCATGTGACAGATCATGTGACACTTAGATTGCACACAGGTGGAGTTTATTTAACTAATTATGTGACTTCTGAAGGTAATTGGTTGCACCAGATCTTATTTAGGGGCTTCATAGCAAAGGGGGTGAATATATATGCACACACCACTTTTCCATTATTTACTTTTTAGAATTTTATGAAACAAGTTATTTTTTTCATTTCACTTCACCAATTTGGACTATTTTGTGTATGTCCATTACATGAAATCCAAATAAAAATCCATTTAAATTACAGGTTGTAATGCAACAAAATAGGAAAAACGCCAAGGGGGGTGAATACTTTTGCAAGGCACTGTATGTATTTATTTCCACATTGAAGCCATGCAATTACTTAGAAGAATGTTGACTGAAAACAGGTTCAAGTTAACATATTTAGCAAAGATGGGATGGGTCTACATTTTATTTAATTTCTGTAAGCTGTTTAACAAACTATACTGAACAAAAATAGAAACGCAACATGCAACAATTTAAAAGATTTAACTGAGGAAATCAATCAATTAAAATAAATTCATTAAGCGCTAATCTATGGATTTCACATGACTGGGAATACAGATATGCATCTGTTGGTCACAGATACTTTTAACAAATGGGCCTCACAATGGGCAACAAGATCTCGTCACGGTATTTTTGTGCATTAAAATTGTTATCGATAAAATGCAATCGCGTTCGTTGTCCGTAGCTTATGCCTGCCCAATACCATAACACTTCCGCCATTATGGGGCACTCTGTTCACAACACTGACATCAACAAACTGCTCGCACACAATGCCATGCACATGGTCTGCGGTTGTGAGGCCGGTTGGACGTACTGCCAAATTCTCTAAAACAACGTTGGAGGCAGCTTATGGTAGAGAAATGAACATTCAATTCTCTGGCAATAGCTCTGGTGGACATTCCTGCAGTCAGCATGCCAATTGCCCGCTCCCTCAAAACTTGAGACATCTGTGGCATTGTATTGTGTGACAAAACTGCACATTTTAGAGTGGCCTTTTATCATGGCCAGCACAAGGTGCACCTGTGTAATGAACATAGTAAAACAAACAGGAGGTTATGACAGGAATAAGAGTGGGAAGGAGGGAGAGAAATAGGGAGAGGGGGGAAAAGTAAAGACTAAAAACGTTGTGTCACCCTTCAGAACTAAAATAGAAAGAGTTTTGTAATGGTTAATAATTTACTGTATTGGTATCACTTCTGTTTATAACTCTGTGCGGCTGGTCACATGATGGACCCGGTTGTGACTTTAACAACAACACAGGTCCCCAGGGTTTTAATGCTATGTTTGCCCTTCTGCTAAAACAAGGTCACTTTGAATGAGTGAGGGTTGCTGCTGACTAACAACAGTTCATAAGGGTTGCTGCTGACTAAAAACAGTTGAGATTACAGAAATGACAGGGACATTTGTCCTTTTGTGATACTATGAAAATGACTCTCAAAATCCTCCTGATCTGAACCATGGATTACAGTCTTTCCTGGCCCATAGACTAAGCCTACTGTCAGGGTAAGGATTTATATCTAGGCCTATATGCTTGACTTTTCGCAAGAAAAGGAATGCCAAGTATGTCACAGCCGTTTTGTAACACAGGTTTAAGCATACGTCTACTGTCACTCCCAACAGTCAGAAGAGGCTTTGTCTCATTGTCTCCAAAACTTTGTTTGCACTCATAATGAAAACATAAAGTGAGGTTCAGTCTAGAATACTTTGTCAAACAAAGAGCACACACTTCAAGGGATATCTATGTTCAAAGACCCTTACCCCATTTGAAGCAGCTTTATCATTTTTCAACAAACAATACACCTAGATAGTAGTGCCTGATAGATAGAGCCTGTTTTGGGTTACATACTAGGAAAAGAGGGGTTCTGTTCTCAAACAATTGGAGTAGAGTTGCTACCTTATATACTAGGCCAGGACAGACCAGGGGCTGTATAACATTTAGCAAGCCTGTTGTCAGAGTAGGAGTGCTGATCTAGGATCAGATCCTCCCTGTCCACGTACTCTTGGGTACATTACCTGTAAAAAATATAAGGCAATGTTTATACACTGCTCAAAAAAATAAAGGGAACACTAAAATAACACATCCTAGATCTGAATGAATGAAATAATCTTATTAAAAACTTTACATAGTTGAATGTGCTGACAACAAAATCACACAAAAATGATCAATGGAAATCAAATGTATCAATCCATGGAGGTCTGGATTTGGAGTCACCCTCAAAATTAAAGTGGAAAACCACACTACAGGCTGATCCAACTTTGATGTAATGTCCTTAAAACAAGTCAAAATGAGGCTCAGTAGTGTGTGTGGCCTCCACGTGCCTGTATTACCTCCCTACAACGCCTGGGCATGCTCCTGATGAGGTGGCGGATGGTCTCCTGAGGGATCTCCTCCCAGACCTGGACTAAAGCATCCGCCAACTCCTGGACAGTCTGTGGTGCAACGTGGCATTGGTGGATGGAGCGAGACATGATGTCCCAGATGTGCTCAATTGGATTCAGGTCTGGGGAACGGGCGGGCCAGTCCATAGCATCAATGCCTTCCTCTTGCAGGAACTGCTGACACACTCCAGCCACATGAGGTCTAGCATTGTCTTGCATTAGGAGGAACCCAGGGCCAACCACACCAGCATATGGTCTCACAAGGGGTCTGAGGATCTCATCTCGGTACCTAATGGCAGTCAGGCTACCTCTGGCGAGCACATGGAGGGCTGTGCGGCCCCCCAAAGAAATGCCACCCCACACCATGACTGACCCACCGCCAAACCGGTCATGCTGGAGGATGTTGCAAGCAGCAGAACGTTCTCCACGGCGTCTCCAGACTCTGTCACGTCTGTCACGTGCTCAGTGTGAACCTGCTTTCATCTGTGAAGAGCACAGGGCGCCAGTGGCGAATTTGCCAATTTTGGTGTTCTCTGGCAAATGCCAAACGTCCTGCACGGTGTTGGGCTGTAAGCACAACCCCCACCTGTGGACGTCGGGCCCTCATACCACCCTCATGGAGTCTGTTTCTGACCGTTTGAGCAGACACATGCACATTTGTGGCCTGCTGGAGGTCATTTTGCAGGGCTCTGGCAGTGCTCCTCCTGCTCCTCCTTGCACAAAGGCGGAGGTAGCAGTCCTGCTGCTGGGTTGTTGCCCTCCTACGGCCTCCTCCACGTCTCCTGATGTACTGGCCTGTCTCCTGGTAGCGCCTCCATGCTCTGGACACTACGCTGACAGACACAGCAAACCTTCTTGCCACAGCTCGCATTGATGTGCCATCCTGGATGAGCTGCACTACCTGAGCCACTTGTGTGGGTTGTAGACTCCGTCTCATGCTACCACTAGAGTGAAAGCACCGCCAGCATTCAAAAGTGACCAAAACATCAGCCAGGAAGCATAGGAACTGAGAAGTGGTCTGTGGTCACCACCTGCAAAACCAGTCCTTTATTGGGGGTGTCTTGTTAATTGCCTATAATTTCCACCTGTTGTCTATTACATTTGCACAACAGCATGTGAAATGTATTGTCAATCAGTGTTGCTTCCTAAGTGGACAGTTTGATTTCACAGAAGTGTGATTGACTTGGAGTTACATTGTGTTGTTTAAGTGTTCCCTTTATTTTTTTGAGCAGTGTATGATGCCATTTCAAACAGCCCCTTATTTAACACATTTGTGCAGTTATACACTTTTTATACATATCAGTGGGTAACTGGCAAATTGGGAGGGGTGGGAGCAGGGGGGTGTTGTTAAACCATGGGGGCTGTTTGCATCAAATTAGGGAGATATTAAACAATGGAATGTTAATGAATTTACCTGCAAAAAAAAGCAGAGAACCATTCACACAGACCTGATACCTGTATTTTGGTTACAGGGTCTGTGAAAATGCAGGAATCATGACTAGGTCTTTAGGTGGGTTATATTTTTCCTTGTTTTTTTACCACCTATCCCTTTCACAAAAAATCTGGCAAAAAGGAGCAGGCATGGTCAATTAGTGGGACGCGGTTTATGAATGAAAGGGATATTATTCAATAAGATCTAAAAGGCAAAACTGATCCTAAATCAGCAATCTTACTCTGAGACGCTTGATGCATACTGCCCCAGAAGATCTAGTTCTTATGAATCCCAATGATGTTGCAACTACATGGATGTATTGAGCAATGACCCAGCACCCTGAAAGCACCCTGTCAGCAGTTATGGAAAATCAGGTCATGTGAACTGAGGTTGTTAGGAAGGTTACCTTATTACTGTGGTCTGTTATTTCATTAGCTGATAACTGTTTTCCACTTCACAGTTTTAGCTTAATAACATGTCTATGGTTAGGTGTATGTAGCTACTGATTTTGTGTAGTTATTGGATGCTAATGTGATCAACTTTGATAAACCATTTGTCAACTACAATATGCCATTTCAAACCGAAAGGTGTATTGTCAAATAAAATGTATACAAAAGCCATCATATCTGTCCCTGTCCACGTACTGTATTCCCATACTTCATACTGCAAATTGAGTTTATATAAAAAAAAGTGTGATAAACCCAACAGTTTTTCTTTTGACTGCATTCTGAAAAAGGTAAATGATTAAGCTACATATGCTATTGAAACATGCGCTATTACAGAATTAAACAGAAGTTTCAGAACTGCGTCACAACCATAGAGGAGCAAGTTCAAGTCCTTTTATAGCCTAAATCTCCCGAGTGGCGCAGTGGTCTAAGGCACTGCATCGCAGTGCTAGCTGTGCCACTAGAGATCCTGGTTCGAATCCAGGCTCTGTCGTAGCCGGCCGCGACCGGGAGACCCATGGGGCGGCGCACAATTGGCCCAGCGTCGTCCAGGGTAGGGAATGGCCGGCAGGGATATAGCTCAGTTGGTAGAGCATGGCGTTTGCAACCCCAGGGTTGTGGGTTCGATTCCCACGGGGGGCTAGTAATAAAAAATAAAAAATAATAATGTAAGTCGCTCTGGATAAGAGCGTCTGCTAAATGACGTAAATGTAATGTAAATAAAACGTAGACCTAGGCTATTTCTCAATTAGCATATTATCCGAAATAATTGTCAAATTACTACAATTTTCTTCTAAGGATATAATACACACACATTTTGCAACAATAACAGCTGTATTTAAACTGTAGCACTGTTTTGTTTGATATTGTTTTAGATGTTACCAATAAAATGTTACTTTGCATTGATTTGCGTATGAGTGAGTGAGATCATCATCAAATGATCCGCCTATTTCCTGTTGAAATTCTAAACGTGATTGGCTGCGCTCTGTGAGGCTCGATTTCACTGACGCGCTCTGTTTGGAACAATAAATAGAGCGAACAAGACTTCTTCTATTTCACAACTCTGGGAAGACGCATCTAGAAGTTCTTGCTTCAACAGTGATTGAACGGAACTCTTCTGCCTTCGTCCCGCACTGTATAACATTCCAGATTTATAACTTAACACGTACTTGAACTGTAATAGCAAAATAGTCTAAGAAACTCTATTTTTGTACCGTTAAGTTTGATATAAAATAAGAAAATCTGCTAAAATGGAGTCTCAGGTCCGCCAGAACTACCACAGCGACTGCGAAGCTGCCATCAACCGGATGATCAACATGGAGATGTTTGCCTCTTACACCTACACTTCAATGGCAAGTAGACTGTAATTGGCTACCAAGAGGACCATTTTCTTGCTCTACGCAGTATTGTGTATTATGCATGGGTCTAAATGTCATTATTTTATTCTGACTGTTTTCTGTAGGCAATAGCCAAATAAAACGGAACTCTGAAGTACACCCTTACGGGAAAAAATGGCATTGCAATACTGCTAGAACGGAATACTGAGTCATGTTTGGCATATTTTTCTAACCACACTGTTTTGTCTATCAACCTAGGCTTTCTATTTCTCCCGTGACGACGTGGCTCTGTCTGGCTTCGCTCATTTCTTCAAGGAGAACAGCGACGAGGAGCGCGAACACGCCGAAAAGCTACTCTCCTTCCAGAACAAGAGAGGTGGACGCATTTTCCTCCAGGACATCAAGGTGAGTGTCGAAACACAAATTTGCATTGTAGACTGTTAGAAGGGCAAAAAGGGTTCTTTAACTTCTCCTCCATAGACGAGGGTTGTCTGAAAATTTCTCTATGATAGAAAGAATCCTTTAAGAAGATCTGTTAAAGGGTTTACCAGGAACCAAATGGTTAATCTAGAATATATAGGGACAAGCTCTATGGCCCTCGATATAACTTTTTTCTAATACTGGAGACTTGACATTTTGGCGTCATTGTTTTGATTAGTATTCATGTTAATGCAGAGTTCATTGTAAGGCACGCCATATGTAGCTGCCCTGGTATTAGAGCAAGGTGCTCAGATGAGAAATGGCCTGACTGCTGCCTCCATAAACACTGAATTAAAACAGCCTGAGGGGTATAACTATCCAGACTCTGCCAATGTTAATAGACAGGCCTACTCCATTTAGGAGGTGCTTTTTTTCCAAATGCAACTTAGTCATGCGCGCATACATTTCACATATAGGTAGCCCCAGTAGGAAGTGAATCCATGACCTTTGGCGTTGAAAGTGCCATGCTCTACCGACTGAACCACACCGGATGATTTGTGCTTCATAAACTCAAACGTGGTTTTTTGTATTGACTGTTAACTTGACCCTATCTTGACTTTTTGCTTCATTGGTTCGTTTGTTTTAGCCTCTTATGTGCAAGATATACTGGCTAACTGTTGACTGTTAGTAGGTATGCATAGAAATCTCTGCTAGAAGTCCCTAAACTTTGTTCCCTCTGTCCTGAGTAGAAGCCAGATCGTGACGAGTGGGGCAATGGGCTGGAGGCCATGCAGTGTGCTCTGCAGCTGGAGAAGAACGTCAACCAGGCCCTGCTGGACCTGCACAAGATTGCCTCTGACAAGATTGACCCTCATGTAAGTAATGTCCCCCACGTTATGGTGGAACCACACACATTACATGTATACAACACATAGAATACAGCCACTGTACTGTCCCAGGAGCTGATCAGGTTGTTGTAGCTCTGCTAACGAATGAAGCCTGCCTCTTCACACAAACACAATAGCCCACAGATGTACAAGAATGCACACTATACAAAAAGATGCAGCTAATGCATAAATTGGACCGCTGCAAACACCTCATTGAGTTAGTTATCTAACCGTATGTCATTACCACCAGGCTCTTGTGTGTAACTGCATCTACAATAGTGTCTGTAGTTATTCTCTTGTCTCACCTATGTTTTCCTTCTTTAGCTGTGTGACTTCCTGGAGTCCCACTACCTGAATGAGCAGGTGGAGGCCATTAAGAAGCTGGGTGACTATGTCACCAACCTCACCAAGATGGATGCTGTCAACAACAAGATGGCCGAGTACCTGTTTGACAAGCACACCCTGGGAGGCCAGAGCTAAACCATGTCCAGGCTACAGCCTCCAGCCTTATACAAGGACTCCTGGTTTTTCTGCTCTATCCTGCTGCCTTTGCATCTATAAGGAGGAGAGTGTTGAAGTGGTACAGAGCAATACAGCTGTTCAATTTGACAACCCTGTACTAGGTTTGGGAGGCAAGGCATGTTGTGAAACAAATTAGTAAAAAGATCACAAAAGTATTGCTGTGGCGTAATGGATGTTGTCTCAGTTTATGCTGGTGCTTTTCTTACTGAGCAGCTCAATACCCAACACAAGGGTACTTTTCACTAAGTATAACTGGTCATTTTTATCTGCCCTGAATCTGAAGAATAAAACATTTTGAGCTTGATTGACTGTTTGTTTAATGCTAGCTAACTGTTGACTGTTAGTTGCCATGAGCCCAAAGCATACTTCATGAATTTTCTCTTCATATAAATAAATACTGACAATTGTAGGCCTACTACAGTGACTGAGGGTCATAATAATTGGGAAAGGTTGACATGAGGTTTATGGGACACTCTCTCTGATGACCACAGAACGGCGCCATTACATATCTTGTCACAGTGCGTTAAACGGGACCCATAAAACAACCGTTAACTAGGGTAACCACATTTACTAGATCACATAGTGGTCTGTGGAAACGTATGTTACGTGCATAATACAATTTGATAACCTATTTACATGATACCAGACATCCTTTGAAATTGGCGATCAATAACTTGGGCTCTTTACCCCAATCATTGGCTCCCCTCCCAGTCTAAAGCTGAACCATGACAATAGCACAGACTGACAAATGGCCTTTAAAGTAGTTCTCTTTCACAGCAATGGATAGTTTCCAGGCATTGCACGCGATAAATATTAGCCAAACCGATTGGGATGGAAAACTTAATTTGAGTGAAGTCGGGTTTTGGTGTTTAACATGCGTTTCAAGTGAGGGAGGGCAATGGCTTATAACGTGGATGATAAGTAGTTGGCAGAGCGAGATTAACGGACAGGGGAGGGAGAGAGGGGTGGTGCGCAGCACAACAGTTCTCTCCAACACGGAGTCCACAATTCATCGTTTTTAACAAAAGGAAGACTTTGGGTTTAAATTGGGGATTTCAATCGGGTGAGTTCTGTTGGTGTATGTTCGCGGCGTAGCCTATACTCCACTGCATTTTAAAAGTGTATAATTAGACGGCCTAGAGGTCATTCAAACCCTTGCTATGCTCGGTAAATCCGCTAGCGAGCGGTTATGGCGCATGGGAAGTCCAGGGTTACCGGTTGATGGGCACAATATTTGCCATATCTGATTATTATATTTCTTAAAACTAACATACGCTACTGCTTCTTTAAATGAATACTTGAGTAGCCTACCATTCACATTCTATTCCATATTCTGAGCCATAGGCCTATCCAAGCCTTTACGCATAAGATGCTTAGCCGTTCCACTGGTCCAAAGTTGGCGACACTTCTTTAATTGGATTGATAATGTATTTTTATCCCAGTTTACTTTCACTAGGTGAAAAACAACTCTGAACAATTATGTTACCGTAGCTACCTCAACTCTGATTTTTTGTCTGTGCATATGTCTAATGTCCACCCCCTCCCCCCTCCAAAGCTCCCTGCGTGCGTGACAACCTGGGGCTTATTTGGGGTTTTAATCAGTTTGGACGGGTACATTTGTGTCTTTTGCGATGTTTGCTTGATAAGCCGTTAAATCCTGTAGTTGTATCAGTTAGTGGGGGCAAAAGCACCAAATTAGAGGAGATGTACTGCTATAATATTGGATACAGTTTGCACCATGCATGCGCTGTGCACGAGGCAGGCTTGATGATGATGATGACAATGGTGATGATGAAGATGAGACAGTGCATTCCAGTCTCAGATGGTCAACTTCTATTTTATTTCACTGACTCGCACAATAGAGAGGGCCATACAGTCAGCCATAAACATCCTGGCCATAATGGAACTGTCTTTAGGTCACCACATAGCTACTAAGACTTGAACCCTCTCAAAATCCCACTGCCAGCTGTTCACCTCTCCAGTCATCTCGCTACCACAGCTAGTAGGCTACTCTGTCCTCAGTTTCCATGTTTGTACCTACTTGTTTTGCATTGTGTCTGGTCTGTGCTCCCATGGAGATATGACCCAAATCACCAATCCCAAAACTAGTCCCTCCCCCTGTAGTTAAAAGACAGCTGGATGGGTGTAGACAATAGCAGCGTCCCCTATACCAGCTGGCAGTAGCCTGGGGACCAGGTTACCTAAGGGCTAACCATATCCCTGATAGCCATCCAATTCTTTCAGGTCTGCAGAAAGGTGTCGGTAAATGCCTATAATTAGGGGTGAGGAATCAGTTTGGGATTGGGCATAGGATATTACCACCTATAACAGATGGCCCAGTATAGGCCTACTGCAGTGTTTCCCAATTCTGGTCCTGGGGACCCCAAGGGGTGCACATTTTTGTTTTTGCCCTAACACTGCATTCAAATAATCAACTCATAATCAAGCTTTGATTATTTGAATCAGGTCACTGTGTAGTGCTAGGGCAAAAACTAAAATGTGCACCTCATGGGGTCCAGGATTGGGAAACACTGGCCTACATGGTCTTCTTGGTCTCTAACCCACAAAACAGACAGGTGTGATGATGATGTGTGCCATGATTGTTTCCTACATACTCTTGTTGTTCAGGATCTAAACATAGAAGGCAGATGATGGTTCTTGGCAATCTGGTTACCCAACATTTTTTCCAGAGGAAGTCAGAAACATTTCAGATGGTCAAGGTCTCATTTTGTGATGGCCCCTCAATAATTTGGGTTGATGAACTCATGTTGGAAAGTGTTGGTCTAAGGTGAAAGTGGCACTCCATTCTCCTTTTCATATCATTTAACACCTGCGTTACTTGAAGTCCTACTCCAGTCTCCTTTTCAGCTAATTTATCATGCAATTTACTTTAAAAAAGGCACATCTCAATAGGTGGTTCAGGTAAGTCATGACATGGCACAAGTGGGGGGGGGGGGGGGGGGCTTTCCTCTTGTTCTTTATTGCTGCTCTACTGTTCCTCAAGCAAGGGGGGAGGCCGATGACAACTTCCCATCAAACCAAATCCTTGAATGCCCTACTCCTTGAATTTGTGTCTAAAAAACACTATGTTGCTCAAAACATATTTTTTTACCCTTTAGTGTGTGTACTTTTCAAAAGTAAAATAAATCAATGGAGGACGTCTTTAAGGTTAGGATCGATTGGGAATGGAGTACTGATATTGTGACGGATACTTCACATGACAAAAAAGGAGGTAACTGTCACAGGTATTGGTCACCGGAAATACACAATTATTGTATATATACACTGAACCAAAATATAAACGCAACATGCAACAGTTTCAAAGATTTTATTGAGTTCATATAAGGAAATCAGTCAATTGAAATAAATTCATTAGGCCCTAATCTATGGATTTCAAATGACTGGGAATACAGATACGCATCTGTTGGTCACAGATACCTTAAAAAAGGTACGAGTTGTGGATCAGAAAACCAGTCAGTATCTGGTGTGACCACCTGCCTCATGCAGCGCAACACGTCTCCTTCGCATAGAGTTGATCAGGCTGTTGATTGTGGCCTGGGGAATGTTGTCCCACTCCTCTTCAATGGCTGTTCGAATTTGCTGGATATTGGCGGGAACTGGAACAAGCTGTCGTACACGTCGATCCAGAGCATCCCAAATATGCTCAATGGGTGACATGTCTGGTGAGTATGCCGGCCATGAAAGAACTGGGACATTTTCAGCTTCCAGGAATTGTGTACAGACCCTTGCGACATGGGGCCATGCATTATCATGCTAAAACATGAGGTGATGGCGGCGGATGAATGGCACGACAATGGGCCTCAGGATCTCATCACGGTATTTCTGTGCATTGAAATTGCCATCGAAAAATGCAATTGTGTTCATTGTCTGTAGCTTATGCCTGCCCATATCATAAACCCACCGTCACCATGGGGCACTCTGTTCACAACGTTGACGTCAGAAAACCGTTCGCCCACACGACACCATACATTTTCAAATTCTCTAAAACGACGTTGGAACCGGCTTATGGAAGAGAAATGAACATTCAATTCCAATTCAATTCCAATTGCACGCTCCCTCAAAACTTGAGACCTCTGTGGTATTGTGTTGTGTGACTAAACTGCACATATAGTTGCCTTTTATTGTCCCCCAGCAGAAGGTACACTTGTGTAATGATCATGCTGTTTAATCAGCTTCTTGATATGCCACACCGGTCAGCTGTGAGACAGCAGAAATATTTACACATGTTAAGTTTGCTGAAAATAAACGCAGTTGACAGTGAGAGGACGTTTCTTTCTTTGCTGAGTTTAAAAATACAGTACCAGTCAAAAGTTTGGACACACCTACTCATTGAAGGGTTTTTCTTCATTTTTACTATTTTCTAAATTGTAAAATAATAGAGAAGACATCACAACTATGAAATAACACAGTAGCCAAAAAAGTGTAAAACAATGACCGGACAATGACCCAAAACACACCTCCAGGCTGTGAAATGGCTATTTGACCAAGAAGGAGAGGGATGGAGTGCTGCATCAGATGACCTGGCCTCCACAATCACCCGACCTCAACCCAATTGAGATGGTTTGGGATGACTTGGACTGCAGAGTGAAGGAAAAGCAGCCAACAAGTGCTCAGCATATGTGGGAACTCCTTCAAGACTGTTGGAAAAGCATTCCTCATGAAGATGGTTCAGAGAATGCCAAGAGTGTGCAAAGCTGTCATCAAGGCAAAGGGTGTTTACTTTGAAGAATCTCAAATATAAAATATATTTTGATTTGTTTAACACTTTTTTGGTTACTACATGGTTCCATATGTGTTATTTCATAGTTATGATGTCTTCACTATTATTCTAAAATGTAGAAAATAGTAAAAATAATGAAAAACCCTTGAATGAGTAGGAGTGTCCAAATCTTTGACTGGTACTTTATATATATACAGTTGAAGTTGGAAGTTTACATACACCTTAGCCAAATACATTTAAACTCAGTTTTTTTAAAAATTCCTGACATTTAATCTTAGTAAACATTCCCTGTCTTAGGTCAGTTAGGATCACTTTATTTTAAGAATGTGAAATGTCAGAATAATAGTAGAGAGAATGATTTATTTCAGCTTTTATTTCTTTCATCACGTTCCCAGTGGGTCAGAAGTTTACATACACTCAATTAGTATTTGGTAGCATTGCCTTTAAATTGTTTAACTTGGGTCAAATGTTTCGGGTAGCCTTCCACAAGCTTCCCACAATAAGTTGGGTGAATTTTGGCCCATTCCACCTGACAGAGCTGGTGTAACTGAGTCAGGTTTGTAGGCCTCCTTGCTCGCACACGCTTTTTCAGTTCGGCCCACACATATTCTATAGGATTGAGGTCAGGGCTTTGTGATGGCCACTCCAATACCTTGACTTTGTTGTCCTTAAGCCATTTTGCCACAATTTTGGAAGTATGCTTGGGGTCATTGTCCATTTGGAAGACCCCCATTTGCGACCAAGCTTTAACTTCCTGACTGAAGTCTTGAGATGTTGCTTCAATATATCCACATAATTTTCCTTGTTCATGATGCCATCTATTTTGTGAAGTGCACCAGTCCCTCCTGCAGCAAAGCACCACCACAGCATGATGCTGCCACCCCCGTGCTTCACGGTTGGGATGGTGTTCTTCGGCTTGCAAGGCACCCCCTTTTTCCTCCAAACATAACGATGGTCATTATGGCCAAACAGTTCTGTTTTTGTTTCATCAGACCAGAGAACATTTCTCCAAAAAGTACGATCTTTGTCTTCATGTGCAGTTGCAAACCGTAGTCTGGCTTTTTTATGGCGGTTTTGGAGCAGTGGCTTCCTCCTTGCTGAGCGGCCTTTCAGGTTATGTCAATATAGGACTTGTTTTACTGTGAATATAGATACGTTTGTACCTGTTTCCTCCAGCATCTTCACAAGGTCCTTTGCTGTTGTTCTGGGATTGATTTGCACTTTTCGCACCAGAGTACGTTCATCTCTAGGAGACAGAACGCGTCTCCTTCCTGAGCGGTATGACGGCTGCGTGGTCCCATGGTGTTTATAGTTGCGTACTATTGTTTGTACAGATGAACGTGGTACTTTCAGGCGTTTTGAAATTTCTCCCAAGGATGAACCAGACTTGTGGAGGTATCCCATTTTTTTTCTGAGGTCTTGGCTGATTTATTTTCATTTTTCCATGATGTCAAGCAAAGAGGCACTGAGTTTGAAGGTAGGCCTTGAAATACATCCACAGGTACACCTCCAATTGACTCAAATTATGTCAATTAGCCTATCAGAAGCTTCTAAAGCCATGACATCATTTTCTGGAATTTTCCAAGCTGTTTAAAGGCACAGTCAACTTAGTGTATGTAAACTTCTGACCCACTGGAATTGTGATACAGTGAATTATAAGTGAAATAATCTGTCTGTAAACAATTTTTTGAAAAATTACTTGTGTCATGCACAAAGTAGATGTCCTAACCGACTTGCCAAAACTATAGTTTGTTAACAAGACATTTGTGGAGTGGTTGAAAAACAAGTTTTAATGACTCCAACCTAAGTGTATGTAAACTTCCGACTTCAACTGTATATAGTATGTCATGTGAAGTATTGGTCACAATATCAGTCCTCGCATCCCCAATCCTAACCTTAACCTTTGCAAACTACAGCTGTTTAGCTAGGCCTATTCCAATGACCTTTGCCAGCACAAACCAATCCAAAGGCTTATACTAGTATATGACCATAAAACCCTTGGAATAACAGTGACATTCGCCAAGACCGGAAGCGAAGAAAGAACCCTCCAACAGAGTGGTCAGATAGGCATGAAAGCCCTAATCACTGACACAGTGATCTACCAGTTAACCAGTATCTAATCAGTAAGGTCCGGCCCTGACTCCCTGCATTCTGCCACCATGATCAGCTTAAGGGGGTATACCACAGTGAGTGAGAGGTGGTGGCCGACCGTTTGCTACTCAACCAAGCTAGCCCCCCTTTCACCGCACTGTGCATGTGTGTGTGCTTGTGTGTGTGTGTGTGTGTGTGTGTGACCTTGACTGGTGAAGTCACAAGCCTATTAGCCAGCAGTCTATAAACTCTGATGTTTGCCTCCCCTCACTCACCGTCACATAGCTGTGCTTACTAATCCTGCGCTTATTCACTCTATCTGTTGGGATTGAACAGGTTCATTTGACAAGCCACAAATTAGATATTGTTATAGAAAGGTGATTGTTGGTTGGATAACTAGGTGGGATCTGTCTGTTTGACAGCAGGTGATGTTGTGGGGGGTTATTGGTAGTAGCTTAGGATGGATAAGGGATAGCAGGGGATAGGAGAGGGATGGGAGTAGAGAGCAAACTGAACTGTCCCTAATTGAGTTAAACTCTGGGATTTGGGGATTACCTTTGGCAATTCATCTTGTTACGTGTCTGTGCACAGTGAGGAGGACAGCAGATGGAGGAGGGTTGGTGTGTGTGGGGGATTAGTGATGGACACAGTGGGCACAGGAATGAGAGTTTCACTGTATCTCGACACACTCACGCCATGAACCAAGAGAGGACGGAGGGAGGGAGGGAAAGGAGGAGGGGGAGGAAGGGAGGGAGAACGACATAGGGGGACATGGAAGGGAGGAGAGAGATATTGAGAGTAACTGATGAAAGAAAGGGGTGGTGAGAGGGAGGCAGGGGGTGAGGAGGGAGGCATGGAGGGAGGGAGGGGATAGGGGACACAGACGGGAGGAGAGCGAGCGAGTAGATAGAGAGAGAAACTGATGAGAGAAAGGGGTGGAGTGAGAGGGAGGCAGTGGGTGAGGAGGGGGAAGAAAGTCTCAAGAGGAGAGTGGGATGAGTAGGAAGTTTAGTATTGGAGGGGGGAAAGAGTGTATAGGAAGTTGGGAGGTAAAGGGTGAGGGAGTATGAGGAAACAGAGAGGAGAAAGAGAGATATGTTGATGAGCTGGATAATGGATTGCAAGGAAGGGGAACGCAGACTAAAAAAATCATAACGAGAGAAGGAGAGAGAGACAGAGAGGGAGATTTTATTTTATTTAGGATCCCCATTAGCTGAAGCCAATGGTGAAAGCTAGTCTTACTGGGGTCTGACACATAATGAAAAAGACATTACAGACAAAAATACTTTACAATCTACATACATTTAAAACCATTAACATGTAGACATTCCAGACGTGTGTGTGTGTGTTGTGTGTGTGTATCTATCAGTTACACATACATGTCAGTACATACACACAACAAGTAGGCGAGACAGATTGGAAGCCAAGGCAAAGCCTTATCCCTTAGGCTTTGCTTTAAATGAAGGGACAACACGAGAGCGAGAGATGGTTGTCTTACAATTGTAGGTTGAATCAACCTCAATGACATTTTGTTGAGCAAACTCACAATCCTATCGCAGCTGGTTGCCTTACAATTGATTCAAACCTCAATGTTGACTTGCAAAGTGATGTGTAGTTCCTATTGAAATCCAGAGTGAGGATATCCAACAATTGGAACGTTTAATCACCTGCAACCTATATTGAGAATGACTGCCAGTGTAAGGAAGATTAATTATTGAGACTACCGAAATCATATAAACTGGAACAGCCACCTCAGTGACGGGTGCAAAAAGTCCAACTACTGACAGATTTAGAAAAATTATGTAATCTAAGTGAATATGTTGTCATTAAGATACAATTATTTTAGACAATAGGATACGTATTTCATAAGGTTTTCTTCTGAAGACCTAGTTTTATCCTAATGAAGTGGCCTATAATTAATAGTTTTCAGGCCACATCAGGCAAAGTGATGTGTAATTCATATTGGAATCCAGGCAGAGTGGGGATAGCCAACATTTATTTTTAAAATGTTGGCTATTCAGAATGACTGCCACGGTTGGGAAGACTAAGATATGAGACTACCTTAAACATCTAAACAGGAACAACCATTTCAGTAATGGATGCAATAAGTCATAGTAAGAGATTAGAATACTTTAGAAAAATGTATGTTATTTATATTTGAGTAGCATAAGATTAATTAATGAATCAATGTTCATGCAAAATTGTACCTACAATAGAGCATGCTGGGAAATATGATAATAATACCAACACTGGGGTTCCTTTACACCAATGAGTGTTAATTTAACTCTTGAATCAACATTAGAAATGTTACACTGGAAAATAAACAGTTAGTTAACACTAACCAATTTGCTGTGAATGGGACACATCTGCAGGCTTCCACACATTTCAAGAACCTTTTAGAATTCTGAAGAACCGTAGATGCCAGGTCAAGGACCCCACACTTAACTCAAAGGTTCTTTAATGGGCAAACGTTCTCCAAGGAACCTTAAGAGCTGAGGAAGAACCATTTAAGAACCTTCATTTATTTCAGTGTATCGAACTCCCAACCTTCCAGTCTCAGGGCGGACACTCGAACCACAAGGCCACTGAGTTGGTTAGCCGCAACCCTAACCCTATCCAGTTGACTTACTTACCAGGATGTTTAGAATTCATGGCATATTAAAATATTTCTTACACTGCTCTAAAGTGATTGCTCTTTTGTCTCCCCTGCCTTTTATCTAAGCTGAGATGCGATTGGCCAGTGTGCAAGCGCGGGCCCGTCGGGCGGCTGAGGAGAGAGATAAGCCGCCCCCAGGCCCCGCCCCTCCCTCCACCCACCACTCTGACCACCAGTTCAAGAACATGAAGAGCAAGTTCTTCAACGAACTCACCCACATGCCAAGTGAGCCCTGAACACAATGAACGCACACACACACACACACACTCATTCTGTGTGTGTCATTTCATTTCACATAATGTCCTCTCATAATTTCTTCTCTTTCATTTCATCCCCTGCTTTTCCTCCACTTACCACAGATCATAAACTCAAAAGTAAGTTAATATTGTCTACACAAGGCCTATGTATGGTGTTATACACTAAGTGTACAAAACATTAAGGACACCTGTTCTTTCCATGACATAGACTGTCCAGGTGAATCCAGGTGACAGCTATGATCCCTTTGAATGTTTGTAAGTTTTACAAAGGCTTTATATAATGTATAGTCTGTATTCCCCTGACTGTTGTTATTTTTTATTTTTTTATTTTTTATTTTATTTTTGGGGGGGTAGATCAGCTTAATATTGCAGATAGATTGTAACTTCCATCAATGTAATTGTCTACATCACTTCCAATCCCCCATGTTTTTTATATATATACTCCCCTTTATTACTTTTCAACCCCGCCATCCTCTCCCTACTTGGGGTAAATTAGTGAACAACAATGCTTAGGCCTCTACTTCCAGCTTATACTTACTATCTACATTTTATGACTGTTGTTTGTAATGTTTGGATACTCTATAGTATACTCTGTTTGTTTTTCTATATTGTATATTTTGAATTGCTTTACAAAAAAAATAAAATAAGCCATGATCCCTTATTGATGTCACTTGTTAAATCCACTTCAATCAGTGTAGATGAAGGGGAGGAGACAGGTTAAAGAAGGATTTTTAAGCCTTGAGCCAATTGAGACATGGATTGTGTATGTGTGCCATTCAGAGGGTGAATGGGCAAGACAAAATATTTAAGTGCCTTTGAATGTGGTATGGTAGTAGGTGCCAGGCGCACCGGTTTGTGTCAAGAACTGCAACGCTGCTGGGTTTTTCATGCTTATCGACAATGGTCCACCACCCAAAGGACATCCAGCCAACTTGACACAACTGTTGGAAGCATTGGAGTCAACATGGCCCAGCATCCTTCTGGAATGTCTTCGACACCTTGTAGAGTCCATGCCCCGAATAATTGAGCCTGTTCTGAAGGCAAAAAGGGGTGGGGGGGTGGGTTGCAACTCAATATCAGGAAGGTGTCCTTAATGTTTTGTACACTCAGTGTATACAGTTTGGGAAAAAAGTATTTAGTCAACCACCAATTGTGCAAGTTCTCCCACTTAAAAAGATGAGAGAGGCCTGTAATTTTCATCATAGGTACACGTCAACTATGACAGACAAAATGAGAAATAAAAATCCAGAAAATCACATTGTAGGATTTTTAATGAATTTATTTGCAAATTATGGTGGAAAATAAGTATTTGGTCAATAACAAAAGTTTCTCAATACTTTGTTATATACCCTTTGTTGGCAATGACACAGGTCAAAGGTTTTCTGTAAGTCTTCACAAGGTTTTCACACACTGTTGCTGGTATTTTGGCCCATTCCTCCATGCAGATCTCCTCTAGAGCAGTGATGTTTTGGGGCTGTCGCTGGGCAACACGGACTTTCAACTCCCTCCAAAGATTTTCTATGGGGTTGAGATCTGGAGACTGGCTAGGCCACTCCAGGACCTTGAAATGCTTCTTACGAAGCCACTCCTTCGTTGCCCGGGCGGTGTGTTTGGGATCATTGTCATGCTGAAAGATGTTTCATCTTCAATGCCCTTGCTGATGGAAGGAGGTTTTCACTCAAAATCTCACGATACATGGCCCCATTCATTATTTCCTTTACACGGATCAGTCGTCCTGGTCCCTTTGCAGAAAAACAGCCCCAAAGCATGATGTTTCCACCCCCATGCTTTACAGTAGGTATGGTGTTCTTTGGATGCAACTCAGCATTCTTTGTCCTCCAAACACGACGAGTTGAGTTTTTACCAAAAAGTTATATTTTGGTTTCATCTGACCATATGACATTCTCCCAATCCTCTTCTGGATCATCCAAATGCACTCTAGCAAACGTCAGACGGGCCTGGACATGTACTGGCTTAAGCAGGGGGACACGTCTGTCACTGCAGGATTTGAGTCCCTGGCGGCGTAGTGTGTTACTGATGGTAGGCTTTGTTACTTTGGTCCCAGCTCTCTGCAGGTCATTGACTAGGTCCCCCCGTGTGGTTCTGGGATTTTTGCTCACCGTTCTTGTGATCATTTTGACCCAACGGGGTGAGATCTTGCGTGGAGCCCCAGATCGAGGGAGATTATCAGTGGTCTTGTATGTCTTCCATTTCCTAATAATTGCTCCCACAGTTGATTTCTTCAAACCAAGCTGCTTACCTATTGCAGATTCAGTCTTCCCAGCCTGGTGCAGGTCTACAATTTTGTTTCTGGTGTCCTTTGACAGCTCTTTGGTCTTGGCCATAGTGGAGTTTGGAGTGTGACTGTTTGAGGTTGTGGACAGGTGTCTTTTATACTGATAACAAGTTCAAACAGGTGCCATTAATACAGGTAACGAGTGGCGGACAGAGGAGCCTCTTAAAGAAGAAGTTACAGGTCTGTGAGAGCCAGATATCTTGCTTGTTTGTAGGTGACCAAATACTTATTTTCACCATAATTTGCAAATAAATTCATAAAAAATCCTACAATATGATTTTCTGGATTCTTTTTTCTAAATTTGTCTGTCATAGTTGACGTGTACCTATGATGAAAATTACAGGCCTCTCTCATCTTTTTAAGTGGGAGAACTTGCACAATTGGTGGCTGACTAAATACTTTTTTCCCCCACTGTATGTCATAACGCTACATAGACCTATGTATGTTGTATAATCGATGTCATAAGGCTACATAAGTATTGTATGTATGTTATATGTATGTTGTTATGTATGTTGTATTATAGATGTCATAAGGCTACATAAGGCCTATGTCTGTCTCTCCCCCAGTGCCCATGTGGGCAATAGGAGCCATAGTGGTGGTGGTGCTGGCTCTGGTGGCCTGTCTAGGTTTCTGTATCTGGAAGAAGTGCATCAACAAGGGCAAGAAGCCCAAGAAAGTACGCGAGAGGAAAGGAGGCCGAGGCAGAAGAAAGAAGGAGGGAGCCGGAGAAGGAGAGGAGGGCAAGGTGTGAGGAAACGGAGGGAGGGCAATATAGTGGGTGGTGTAATGGGTTCAAGTACCTGGTTTTCAAATTATCTGAAGTGATTTCCAGATGTAGTGACAGTATCTGTGTGACGGGAGAGACTAATGCAGTGGCTGTGTAATGATACCTGTGATTAATGATTGATGTGATGTTCTCTGTCATGAAGGAAGGAGAGGGTAAGGAAGGAGAGGAGGAAGAAAAAGAGAATTTCGGAAAACTGGAGTTCACCCTGGACTACAACTTCACTGACAACCAGGTGTGTGTGTGTGTGTGTATCCGTGTGTGCGTTCGTGTGCATGCGTTCGTGTGCGTGTGTGTGTCTTGTCCTCCCTGGCATTTTACCTTCTGGATGTGAAGTGTCTGACTATTGACATGTCTAAAGGCTCTCTGACCTCTGCTCTTTGTCTGCTCAGATCTCAGCTTTAACCTCTGACCTCTTATTTTTGTCTTCAGTGACCTATGACCTTTAAGCTGTGACCTTTACAGGGGACATTTCCTATCTGCTAAACCGCTCTTGCCGTGCGCAACATACCTGAGATTTTACCAAACACAAACGTAACACTACTTCATCCCAAAAATTATTTTGGAGTGCTGCTGCAGTACACATCTAATTTGTCACATATATGCAATGTTTACCGGGATTCAATTCAAGCCGCATAATAGCACAGTGCACTTCAACTGACTTTTAAATGTAATTTCCGATTGAGACGTCATTTGTTGCGTTTATCGTTCCCTTTAAAAGCTGCATCGCAATAGCCCTATATGGATTGATTCCCGGCCTAAATCCGCCTAAATTATCACTGCGTTCAGTTCTTACGGACATTGTTAAAAATATTTTGAAGGCCATTGCTTACCTCTGACCTTTTCCCCCTCTCTGCCCCCTCTTCCAGCTGATCGTGGGCATCCTGCAGGCTGAGAACCTGCCAGCCATGGACATGGGCGGCACCTCGGACCCCTATGTCAAAGTCTACATGCTGCCAGACAAGAAGAAGAAGTTTGAGACCAAAGTCCAGCGCAAGAACCTCTGCCCTGTGTTCAACGAGACCTTCATCTTCAAGGTCAGTCTGTGGTGCTGGAGAACAGATGGCGATAGTGAGATGTGGTATTCATTCATGTGTATATGTAAATCCCTTAGAAAAGCTCTTACAGTACTGAGGTTTCTGTAGTCAATAATTCTCAGTCCTGACCGTCTCCTCCCTGTTCTGTGTGTCCCTCCACAGATCCCCTACCAGGAGCTGGGCGGTCAGACTCTGGTCCTGCAGGTCTTTGACTTTGATCGCTTTGGTAAACACGACGTGATTGGACAGATCTCCATCTCTATGAACAGTGTGGACCTGGCTCAGCCACTCCACGAATGGAGGGATCTGGTTGGAGGAGAGAAAGAGGAGGTGAGGAAGGATGAATACAGTCTGTTTGGGTTTTGGGTGCATGTTTTTTTTACATCTACCTGTCTGTGTCTGTCTGTCTGTCTCTGTATATCAACCTATATCGAACTGTGTGTTTGTCTGGTCACAGGTAGAGAAGCTAGGGGACATCTGTATCTCTCTGCGCTACGTCCCCACGGCCGGTAAATTGACCATCAACATCATGGAGGCCAAGCACCTGAAGGCGATGGACTGTGGAGGCTTGTCAGGTGACCCTCTATTAGTCCTTACACTCTCCTAGTCAATATTAGCCATGCTGTGGTGGTACACTCTCCTAGTCAATACTAGCCATGCTGTGGCGGTACACTCTCCTAGTCAATACTAGCCATGCTGTGGCGTTACACTCTCCTAGTCAATACTAGCCATGCTGTGATATTACACTCTCCTAGTCATTACTAGCCATGCTGTGATATTACACTCTCCTAGTCAATACTAGCCATGCTGTGGCGGTACACTCTCCTAGTCAATACTAGCCATGCTGTGGCGGTACACTCTCCTAGTCAATACTAGCCATGCTGTGGCGGTACACTCTCCTAGTCAATACTAGCCATGCTGTGATATTACACTCTCCTAGTCAATACTAGCCATGCTGTGGCGGTACACTCTCCTAGTCAATACTAGCCATGCTGTGGCGTTACACTCTCCTAGTCAATACTAGCCATGCTGTGATATTACACTCTCCTAGTCATTACTAGCCATGCTGTGATATTACACTCTCCTAGTCAATACTAGCCATGCTGTGATATTACACTCTCCTAGTCAATACTAGCCATGCTGTGATATTACACTCTCCTAGTCAATACTAGCCATGCTGTGATATTACACTCTCCTAGGCAATATTAGCCATGCTGTGGTGGTACACTCTCCTAGTCAATACTAGCCATGCTGTGGCGTTACACTCTCCTAGTCAATACTAGCCATGCTGTGATATTACACTCTCCTAGTCAATACTAGCCATGCTGTGGCAGTACACTCTCCTAGTCAATACTAGCCATGCTGTGGCGGTACACTCTCCTAGTCATTACTAGCCATGCTGTGATATTACACTCTCCTAGTCAATACTAGCCATGCTGTGGCGGTACACTCTCCTAGTCATTACTAGCCATGCTGTGATATTACACTCTCCTAGTCAATACTAGCCATGCTGTGATATTACACTCTCCTAGTCAATACTAGCCATGCTGTGATATTACACTCTCCTAGTCAATACTAGCCATGCTGTGATATTACACTCTCCTAGTCAATACTAGCCATGCTGTGGCGGTACACTCTCCTAGTCAATACTAGCCATGCTGTGATATTACACTCTCCTAGTCAATACTAGCCATGCTGTGATATTACACTCTCCTAGTCAATACTAGCCATGCTGTGATATTACACTCTCCTAGTCAATACTAGCCATGCTGTGATATTACACTCTCCTAGTCAATACTAGCCATGCTGTGATATTACACTCTCCTAGTCAATACTAGCCATGCTGTGGCGGTACACTCTCCTAGTCAATACTAGCCATGCTGTGGCGGTACACTCTCCTAGTCAATACTAGCCATGCTGTGGCGGTACACTCTCCTAGTCAATACTAGCCATGCTGTGATATTACACTCTCCTAGTCAATACTAGCCATGCTGTGGCGGTACACTTTCCTAGTCAATACTAGCCATGCTGTGATATTACACTCTCCTAGTCAATACTAGCCATGCTGTGATATTACACTCTCCTAGTCAATACTAGCCATGCTGTGGCGGTACACTCTCCTAGTCAATACTAGCCATGCTGTGGCGGTACACTCTCCTAGTCAATACTAGCCATGCTGTGGCGGTACACTCTCCTAGTCAATACTAGCCATGCTGTGATATTACACTCTCCTAGTCAATACTAGCCATGCTGTGATATTACACTCTCCTAGTCAATACTAGCCATGCTGTGGCGGTACACTCTCCTAGTCAATAGTAGCCATGCTGTGACCTATTAATGACATAAGGTTGCCAACATTTTATAATAATAATAATAATAGGTCATTTAGCAGACGCTCTTATCCAGAGCGACTTACAGGAGCAATTAGGGTTAAGTGCCTTGCTCAAGGGCACATCGACAGATTTTTCACCTAGTGGGCTCGGGGATTAGAACCAGCGACCTTTCGGTTACTGGCACAACGCTCTTAACCACTAAGCTACCTGCCGCCCATGAAGTAATTAAAACTAATTAAAACTTAAACCACTGGGAAGCATTACGGCATTGCAGACGGTACACACTAATTTACTGCACAATCATTCGTCCTAAATGTTCTTCATCGAAGTGGCTCACACTCTGTTTGACCTCTGTTTTCTGTAACTAACATTCCTCTCTACCCCATGTCTTCTCCGACCAGATCCCTTTGTTAAAGTGGTGCTGCAGTACCAAGGCAAGCGGCTGAAGAAGAAGAAGACGACAGTCAAACAGAACACTCTGAACCCCTACTTCAACGAAAGCTTCAGCTTCGAGATCCCATTCGGACAAATACAGGTGTGTACACCAAACTTCCCATAAGACATCTTGGGGTCGTGATAACGGGTTTTCCTGTGGATCGGGCGACCTGTGTTTGAGGACTCTCCCGTCTTTTCTCTAGAACATTGCACTCTCCCGCCATTTCCTACTGTATGTTGAACAGCACTGTACATGTGGTGGTATTTTGGTTTCAGCTGACTATTTTAACTTGACGCTTTTTTCACTCTTCCCTTTCCTCTTGCAGAAAGTCCAAGTGTTGATCACGGTGTACGATTACGACAAGCTGGGCAGCAACGACGCCATCGGGAAGGTTTGGATCGGCTTCGGCGCCTCAGGGGTGGGCCTCCGCCATTGGTCAGACATGCTGGCCAATCCAAGACGTCCCGTGGCCCAGTGGCACGCCCTGTGTCCTGAGGAGGAGGTGGATGAGGCCCTGAAGAAACCCATCCGCTAAAAGCACACACACACATACACACACCCACACACACAGCCACAGAACATTCCTGTACATGTTAAAACAAACAACATAAGACCTGAAAACTAAACAACAGTGGATAAGCTCCACCCGAAGACCACAATAGTGCTGATCATGACACAACACACTACTCACATAGAAACTCCAAGAAAGCAAAATGTAACTACCGCCAAAACACTACAACCCACCTGTACATCGCTGCAGTGCTGGAATAACATTTCTGATATGTTCTTTCTGCACTCTCTCCTTCTTTATTATTCATTTTTGGCCTATTGACTAATTGTACTGTACGTTTTTACTATTGTGTCCATTTTGATGTTAAGTTATGAGTATGGCTGACTGTTTTGTGCTTTTTTTGTGTGAGAGAAGGCAGTATTGTGTGTATGAACGTGTATTCTTGTTAAACCGTAGTACGTGAAAGCTTTCTCTGTTTTACCTCCTGAATGTAGTAATGTGAGTGGTTGTAAATAGCTAAATAAATAATTTAAAAAATTACCAGATAGATGGTCAGATAGATTTGGAAGCTTGAGTATTTATTTATTTAACCTTTATTACAGATGAGCGAGCCCTGAATTACATAAATGACAGAAAATACACACATCAAAATATAAAAACAAAATGCAAGCAGAAAGAAAGAAAACCACAAGAGTATGAACACATGCTGACGGTCACACACACACCCCTTAGGGAAAAACCACATGAATTTCACATGTGATCTCATGTGATCTCGTGATCACATGGGATTTTAGGTGAAGTTAATGTGATAACATGTGAAAACGATAGCGCATGTGAAAAGATGATCTCATGTGAAATAAATGTTACAACATGGGGATGCAACATTTGAGCATATGTGAAAACCCAGATGTCAAATGTAATTGAGAATATTTTACATTAAAAGGCATCATTTAGTGTTGTAGGAGTTTAAGCTTTTGATGGTTATGCCGATGCAAGTTGAGCACCTCCTTTGACACTGTCTGTGCTGCAAACTTTGTAAGAGCAGAGGTTATTGTGTATTTTCCAGTAATTTAATGGTAACTTGTTGCTAGAAGTTGCTGTGAATTTGTAATTTCTTTAACTGGAAACCATTTAAAATCAAATCAAATCAATGTTTATTTGTCACATGTGCCGAATACAACAGGTGAACAGTGAAATGCTTACTTAAAAGCCCTTAACCAACAATGCAGTTTTAAGAAAAATAAGTGTTAAGTAAAAAATTGATAAATAAAAAACAATTAAAGAGCAGCAGTAAAATAACAGTAGCGAGGCTATATACAGGAGGTAACGGCACAGAGTCAATGTGCGGGGGCACAGGTTAGTCGAGGTAATTTAGGTAATATGTACATGTAGGTAGAGTTATTAACGTGACTATGCATTGATAATAAACAGAGAGTAGCAGCAGCGTAAAAGAGGGGGTGGGGGAACAAAGCAAATTGTCCGGGTAGCCATGATTAGCTGTTCAGGAGTTTATGACTTGGGGGTAGACGCTGTTAAGAAGCCTTTTGGACCTAGACTTGGCGCTCCGCTACTGCTTGCCGTGCGGTAGCAGAGAGAACAGTCTATGACTAGGGTGGCTGGAGTCTTTGATAATTTTTAGGGCCTTCCTCTGACACTGGTATAGAGGTCCTGGATGGCAGGAAGCTTGGCCCCAGTGATATACTGGGCCATGCACACTACCCTCTGTAGTGCCTTGCGGTCGGAGGCCAAGAAGTTGCCATACCAGGCAGTGATGCAACCAGTCAGGATGCTCTCGATGGTGCAGCTGTATAACTTTTTGAGGATCTGAGGACCCATGCCAAATCTTTTCAGTCTCCTGAGGGGGAATAGGCTTTGTCGTGCCCTCTTCACGACTGTCTTGGTGTGTTTGGACCATGATAGTTTGTTGGTGATGTGGACTTGAAGCTCTCAACCTGCTCCACTAAAGCCCTGTCGATGAGAAAGGGGCGTGCTCGGTCCTCTTTTTCCTGTAGTCCACAATCATCTCCTTTGTCTTGATCACGTTGAGGGAGAGGTTGTTATCCTGGCACCACACGGCCAGGTCTCTGACCTCCTCCCTACAGGCTGTTTCATCATTGTCGGTGATCAGGCCTACCACTGTTGAGTCGTCGGCAAACTTAATGATGGTGTTGGAGTCGCGCCTGGCCATGCAGTCATGGATGAACAGGGAGTACAGGAGGGGACTGAGCATGCATCCCTGAGGGGCCCCCATGTTGAGGATCAGCGTGGCAGATGTGTTGTTAACCACCCTTACCACCTGAGGGCGGCCCGTCAGGAAGTCCAGGATCCAGTTGCAGAGGGAGGTGTTTAGTCCCAGGGTCCTTAGCTTAGTGATGAGCTTTGAGGGCACTATGGTGTTGAACGCTGAGCTGTAGTCAATGAATAGCATTCTCACGTAGGTGTTCCTTTTGTTCAGGTGGGAAAGGGCAGCATGGAGTCCAATAGAGATTGCATCATCTGTGGATCTGTTGGGGTGGTATGCAAATTGGAGTGGGTCTAGGGTTTCTGGGATAATGATGTTGATGTGAGCCATGACCAGCCTTTCAAAGCACTTCATGGCTACAGACGTGAGTGCTACGGGTCGGTAGTCATTTAGGCAGGTTACTTTAGTGTTCTTGGGCACAGGGACTATGGTGGTCTGCTTGAAACATGTTGGTATTACAGACTCAGTCAGGGACAGGTTGAAAATGTCAGTGAAGACACTTGCCAGTTGGTCAGCGCATGCTCGGAGTACACGTCCTGGTAATCCGTCTGGCCCTACAGCCTTGTGAATGTTGACCTGTTTAAAGGTCTTACTCACATCGGCTACGGAGAGTGTGATCACACAGTCGTCCGGAACAGCTGATGGTCTCATGCATGCTTCAGTGTTGCTTGCCTCGAAGCGAGCGTAGAAGTAATTTAGCTCATCTGGTAGGTTCGTGTCACTGGGCAGCTCACGGCTGTGCTTCCCTTTTTAGTCTGTAATAGTTTGCAAGCCCTGCCACATCCGGCGAGCGTCAACACCAGTGTAGTTCTATTCAATCTTAGTCCTGTATTGACGCTTTGCCTGTTTGATGGTTCGTCGGAGGACATAGCAGGATTTCTTATAAGCTTCCGGGTTAGAGATTTCTCCTTGAAAGCGGCAGCTCTACCCTTTAGCTCAGTGCGGATGTTGCCTGTAATCCATGGCTTCTGGTTAGGGTATGTACGTACGGTCACTGTGGGGACAACGTCATCAATGCACTTATTGATGAAGCCAGTGACTGATGTGGTGTACTCCTCAATGCCATCGGAAGAATCCCGGAACATATTCCAGTCTGTGCTAGCAAAACCGTCCTGTAGCTTAGCATCTGCGTCATCTGACCACTTCTTTATTGACTGAGTCACGGGCGCTTCCCGCTTTAGTTTTTGCCTGTAAGCAGGAATCAGGAGCATAGAGTTATGGTCAGATTTGCCAAATGGAGGGCGAGGGAGAGCTTTGTACGCATCTCTATGTGTGGAGTAAAGGTGGTCTAGAGTTTTTTTCCCTCTGGTTGCACATTTAACATGCTGGTAGAAATTAGGTCAAACGGATTTCAGTTTCCCTGCATTAATGTCCCCGGCCACTAGGAGCGCCGCCTCTGGATGAGCGTTTTCCTGTTCGCTTATGGCCTTATATAGCTCATTGAGTGCATTCTTAGTGACAGCATCGGTTTGTGGTGGTAAATAGACAGATATATACGAAAAATATAGATGAAAACTCTCTTGGTAAATAGTGTGGTCTACAGCTTATCATGCGATACGATACTCTACCGACTTCCTTAATATTAGATTTCGTGCACCAGCTGTTTTTTTACAAATATACACAGACCGCCACCCCTTGTCTTACCGGAGGCAGCTGTTCTAACTAGCCGATGCAGCGTATATCCCGCCAGTTGTATGTTATCCATGTCGTTCAGCCACGACTCGGTGAAACATAAGATATTACAGTTTTTAATGTCCCGTTGGTAGGATATCCATGATCGTAGTTCACAATAACTTACTGGCAAAATGTTGCCAGTAACCTACAAGCAACTTGGTGCCACTAGCAATACATGCCAGTAACCTACTGTGCCTTCACTGACTATTCTGTTGACAACATGCAACATTACTTGCTAATTGGCAGCATACTGTAGCAGCTGCAGCCTATCAGAATATTGCAGGTGTACCTTATTGGCGGCGTGGCTTCCAGATAGCTCTTTTTGGTCTCCCATGAGAGGGAATGTCATCCCAGTTGATTTGATATCTTGTATTCTGGTCATGTACAGTGGAAGTTCTCAAACCATATTAAAGGCTGATATAAGTGCATATGATATCAAAAAGCCATACAATACATCTGGTAACCATGTCATTGTTATACTCACTCAGGTCAGTGAGCATGACAAATTAGTTACAGCAAATTCCTATGAACTTTACAATAACTGACCACCGATAAGTTAATCAAATTTTTACATTAACTTTCCGTGAATCAGCTGCCATTACACTACTGGAAACTGCATAGTAATCTCTTAACAGTGCAGCTCTTGACTGTCACAAGTTCTCACAAAGATTGCAGCACTGACAGTATAAAAGAGGAGCTCAACCTTCATCAACGTAAAGATAAACCACTTAAACTCATACAACATTTCAGCTGATGGTTGGCACAAAACATAACATGTGCCAGCACATTGCCCTCACCTACATTCGAAGTTCAGTAATGATTGTACCTTATATTGAATTTATTGTGTAGAAAAATGTACCATTATACTAGATTATCTGCACATGTATCCTTAAAGGTACCGACCATGTGAATCCCTATGTGTACTTCTGAAGGTACCTTATGTGTACCTTTGACATTTTTGTAAACCAGGGAACTTCATTGTACCATAACCATACTCTTATTTTCAAGAATGTGTGGATATACAGTGCCTTGCAAAAGTATTCATCCCCCTTGGCGTTTTTCCTATTTTGTTGCATTACAACCTGTAATTTAAATGGATTTTTATTTGGATTTCATGTAATGGACATACACAAAATAGTCCAAATTGGTGAAGTGAAATAAAAAAAATTACTTGTTTCAAAAAATTCGAAAAAATTAATTACGGAAAAGTGGTGCATGCATGCATATGTATTCACCCCCTTTGCTATGAAGCCCCTAAGATCTGGTGCAACCAATTACCTTCAGAAGTCACATAATTAGTTAAATAAACTCCACCTGTGTGCAATCTAAGTGTCACATGATCTGTCACATGATCTCAGTATATATACACCTGTTCTGAAAGGCCCCAGAGTCAGCAACACCACTAATCAAGGGGCACCACGAAGCAAGCGGCACAATGAAGACCAAGGAGCTTTCCAAACAGGTCAGGGACAAAGTTGTGGAGAAGTACAGATCAGGGTTGGGTTATAAAAAAATATCAGAAACTTTGAACATCCCATGGAGCACCATTAAATCCATTATTAAAAAATTGAAAGAATATGGCACCATAACAAACCTGCCAAGAGAGGGCCGCCCACCAAAACTCACAGACCAGACAAGGAGGGCATTAATCAGAGAGGCAACAAAGAGACCAAAGATAACCCTGAAAGAGCTGCAAAGCTCCACAGCGGAGATTGGAGTATCTGTCCATAGGACCACTTTAAGCCGTACACTTCACAGAGCTGGGCTTTATGGAAGAGTGGCCAGAAAAAAAGCCATTATTTAAAGAATAAAATAAGCAAACACGTTTGGTGTTTGCCAAAAGGCATGTGGGAGACTCCCCAAACATATGGAAGAAGGTACTCTGGTCAAATGAGACTAAAATTGAGCTTTTTGGCCATCAAGGAAAACACTATGTCTGGTGCAAACCCAACACCTCTCATCACCCCGAGAACACCATCCCCACAGTGAAGCATGGTGGTGGCAGCATCATGCTGTGGGGATGTTTTTAATCGGCAGGGACTGGGAAACTGGTCAGAATTGAAGGAATGATGGATGGTGCTAAATACAGGGACATTTTTGAGGGAAACCTGTTTCAGCCTTCCAGAGATTTGAGACTGGGATGGAGGTTCACCTTCCAGCAGGACAATGACCCTAAGCATAAGCAACACTTGAGTGGTTTAAGGGGATACATTTAAATGTCTTGGAATGGCCTAGTCAAAGCCCAGACCTCAGTCCAATTGAGAATCTGTGGTATGACTTAAAGATTGCTGTACACCAGCAGAACCCATCCAACTTGAAGGAGCTGGAGCAGTTTTGCCTTGAAGAATGGGGAAAAATCCCAGTGGCTAGATGATTCCATATGTGTTATTTAATAGTTTTGACGTCTTCACTATTATTCTACAATGTAGAAAATAGTAAAAACAAAGAAAAACCCTTGAATGAGTAGGTGTGTCCAAACCTTTGACTGGTACTGTATGTCAAATGTGTAAGTTGAAAACACTGTGTGTATCATAATGAAATTTTTTCATGTGTAGTGTTCCAAAAACATGTTTTCACATGTGAAGTGTCACGTGAAGGGTAACGCTGTAATGCTGAATTTACGTGATACGGATTTAATAGAGCCCAAAAAGACTGGATTATTTCTGTGTCCTCTTTGCTCCCTCTTTGTCTGTCTGTCTGTCTGACGCGCTTGACTGGCCTCAGCCAAACATGTGAGCAGGGATTTAGAGAGAGAGGAGGGAGGGGGGGGGGGAAGCTGGGGGAGAGACAGATATACAGTGCATTCTGAAAGTATTCATACCCCTTGAATTCTTCCACATTTTGTTACTTTACAGCCTTATTCTAAAATTGATTAAATTGTTTTTTCCCCTCATCAATCTACACACAATAACCTATAATGACAAAGCAAAAACATGTTTTTAGAAATGTCTGCTAATTTATTACAAATAAAACACGGAAATATAACATTTACATAAATATTCAGACCCTTTACTCAGTACTTTGTTGAAGCAGCTTTGACAGCGATTACAGCCTCGAGTCATCTTGGGTATGAAGCTACAAGCTTGGCACACCTGTATTTGGGGCGTTTCTCCCATTCTTCTCTGCAGATCCTCTCAAGCTCTGTCGGGTTGGATGGGGAGCGTCGCTGCACAGCTATTTTCAGGTCTCTCCAGAGATGTTCGATCGGGTTCAAGTCCGGCCTCTGGCTGGGCCACTCAAGGACATTCAGAGACTTGTCCCGAAGCCACTCCTCCGTTGTCTTAGCTGTGTGCTTAGGGTCGTTGTCCTTTTGGAAGGTGAACCTTCGCCCCAGTCTGAGGTCCTGAGCACTCTGGAGCAGGTTTTCATCAAGGATCTCTCTGTACTTTGCTCCGTTCATCTTTGCTCCAGTCCCTGCCACTGAAAAACATCCCCACAGCATTATGCTGCCACCACCGTGCTTCACCGTAGGGATGGTGCAAGGTTTCCTCTAGACGTGACGCTTGGCATTCAGGCCAAAGAGTTTAATCTTGGTTTCATCAGACCAGAGAATCTTGTTTTTCATGGTCTGAGAGTCCTTTAGATGCCTTTTGGCAAACTCCAAGTGGGCTGTCATGTGCCTTTTACTGAGGAGTGGCTTCCGTCTGGCCACTCTACCATAAAGGCCTGATTGGTGGAGTGCTGCAGAGATGGTTGTCCTTCTGGAAGGTTCTCCCATCTCCACAGAGGAACTCTGGAGCGCTGTCAGAGTGACCATTGGGTTCTTGGTCACCTCCATGACCAAGGCCCTTCTCCCCCGATTGCCCAGTTTGGCCGGGTGGCCAGCTCTAGGAAGAGTCTTGGTGGTTCCAAACTTCTTCCATTGAAGAATGATGGAGGCCACTGTGTTATTGGGGACCTTCAATGCTGCATAATTTTTTTGGTACCCTTCCCCAGATCTTTGCCTCGACACAATCCTGTCTCGGAGCTATACAGACAATTCCTTCGACCTCATGGCTTGGTTTTTGCTCTGACATGCACTGTCAACAGTGGGACCTAATATAGACAGGTGCGTACCTGTCCAAATCATGTCCAATTAATTGAATTTACCACAGGCTGACTCCAATCAAGTTGTAGAAACATCTCAAGGATGATCAATGGAAACAGGATGCACCTGCGCTAAATTTTGAGTCTCATAGCAAAGGGTCTAAATACTTATGTAAATAAGGTATTTCTGTTTTTATTTGTAATAAATGCAAACATTTCAAAAAACCTATTTTCGCTTTTTCATTATGGGGTATTGTGTGTAGATTGATCAGGAAAACAATGAATCAAATCAATTTTAGAGTAAGGCTGTAACGTAACAAAATGTGGAAAAGGTCAAGGGGTCTGAATACTTTCTGAATGTACAGTATACATATATATATATATTTATTTTTACTATTTTCTACATTATAGAATAATAGTGAAGACATCAAAACTATGAAATAACACATATGGAATCATGTAGTAATCAAAAAAGTGTTAAACAAATCAAAATATATTGCAGCCCAAATTAATTATTCACTGAGTTCAAGTAACAGACACATCTCAACATCAACTGTTTAGAGGGGATTGTGTGATTCAGGCCTTCGTGGTCGAATTGCTGCAAAGAAACCACTACTAAAGGACATCAATAAGAAGAAGAGACCTGCTTGGACCAAGAAACACGAGCAATGGACATTAGACAGGTGGAAATTTGTCCTTTGGTCTGATGAGTCCAAATTTGAGATTTTTGGTTCAAACCGCTGTGTCTTTGTGAGACGCGGTGTGGGTGAACGGATGATCTCCACATGTGTAGTTCGCACCGTAAAGCTTGGAGGAGGAGGTGTTATGGTGTGGGCGTGCTGGTGAAACTGTCTGTGATTTATTTAGAATTCAAGGCACACTTAACCAGCGTGGCTACCATAGCATTCTGCAGCGATACGTCATCCCATCTGGTTTGGGCTTAGTGGGACTATAATTTGTTTTTCAACAGAACAATGACCCAACACACCTCCAGGCTGTTTAAGGCCTATTTGACCAAGAAGGAGAGCGAAGAAGTGCTGCATCAGATGACCTGGCCTCCACAACCCCCCGACCTCATCCAAATTGAGATGATTTGGGATGAGTTGGACCGCAGAGTGAAGGAAAAGCAGCCAACAAGTGCTCAGCATATGTGAGAACTCCTTCAAGACTGTTGGAAAAGCATTCCAGGTGCAGCTGGTTGAGAGAATGCCAAGAGTTTGCAAAGCTGTCATCAAGGCAAAGGATGGCTGTTTGAAGAATCTCAAATATAAAATATATTTTGATTTGTTTAAAACTTTTTTGGTTACAGCATGATTCCATATGTGTTATTTCATAGTTATGATGTCTTCACTATTATTCTACAATGTAGAAAATAGTAAAAACTAAGAAAAACCCTTGAATGAGTTGGTTTGTCCAAACTTTTGACTGGTACTGTATGTCAAATGTGTAAGTTGAAAACACTGTGTGTATCATAAAGACATTTTTTCATGTGTAGTGTTCCAAAAACATGTTTTCACATGTGAAATATCACGTGAAGTGTTCCAAAAACACGTTTTCACATGTCAAATCATGTGGTTTTTCTGTAAGGGGACACACAACAAGCACACCCCCGCAGCCACACATGTACAAGCTACACTGACATTGGACCAATCGCTAACGGGGGAACATTGCCTTTAAAAGTCAACACGCTGTAATGCTGAATTTCCGTGATATGGATTGAATAGAGCCCGGAAGATCCACGTTAACATTTTAAGATAATTTCATATTTCATACAGCGTGATTGACATTTAAATGCAATGTTCTCGCGTTAGCGGAAACTGCATTCACGTTAAACATGTTGGTTCAATCGGAAATGACTTTTACATTTCTATTGCAGAATATGTTACGCTTCAGCGATACAGATTGAATGGAGCGTGTGTGTGTGTACGTGTGTGTGTTGATGTACGTGTGTGTGTTTATGTGTTCCTCCACACACGTGAGACAATGTAATTACTGAGCTCTCTGCAAGTAGATCAGGCCTATAACTCCCTTCTGCCTGTCTAGTATGTGTTGATGATTACTAGTGTGTGCTGTAATAATGGTTTCTAGTGTCCGGTAATATGTGTGTTGAATGTGTTTAAACCAATGCGTGTGTCTAATTAGTGGTAATCCTGGTGTACTGTACCTACAGTATCTAGCGCTACAGAGGGTGTTACACATCTCTCCAGCAGAGGGCAGCGTTTCCCTAGTTGAGTAATGTGGGAGTGACGTTGGCCAGCCTAGACACTGATCTAAGGTCGATTTTGAGTCATTATACTTTCTCCCACACTCCCAATAAAGTAATAAAAGTGTATGTGTGACAATTTCCAGAGGAACATCAAGCTAGCAACCTCAGTGAGTGTACACCGTTTTTTATTATCAATACATATTATAATAACTTGTATTTTGCAATGAAACACATGAGGACATGCCAAAGGAGAGGGTGGCCACAATAAGAGAGGAAAGATGGAAGAGGGGAGGGTGGGATCTCCCTCCTTTCTTCTTCCCTCCAAAGTCGTCTTCTCCCTTCTGCCCTATGAGAGCGGGAGTATCTTTACTTCCAACGACCACCGACCTTCCCCTTACCATGGACCTTTTTACTACAGGGGAGAGAGAAAGGGAGAAAGAGAGATAAGTTCAGAAACAACTATTCGTAGATAAATGCACATACCATACAAACACGTTACTGAAAAAGTGGCAAAAAAAGTTCACATAAAGAAACCAAGAAATTGAATAGGGTTACTGTACTTACAATTTCTGGGCACTCGTGATTCTATTCAAGAGAACGATAATCTGCACACAAAAAAATTACACAAGAGATCACATTGCATCAGTGATTTCACAAATACTACACAACAGACGTCTACAGTCGCTTACACACAAGCCTAAACATCTATGGATTCTGCCTTTGGTACATCTGTCCAGGTCTTCCCACCTGATATTTCTGTTTCTTCATGTGATCGATGAAGTCAAACTTATCAGACTCCAGCGTGTAGATCCAGTTCCACATCTCCTGAGCCTGTTTCCTGGGAGACCAAGAGAGAGGGGTAACCATAGCAACACAGTTGGCAGCCAGGTGTGTGGGCTTTGGACATGAATTCTTGAAAACTCTGATGTGGTGGTGGGAGGAAGATTTTGGCCCAGGTGTGATCGGCCAGGACTCACTTCAGGGCGTCCTCTCTCAGGTTGTCGATCTCCAGTGGGGGTCGTCTCTCAGCCAAGGTCTTCCTCTTGATCTCTCTCCCCGTTAGACGCTTCCCCCTCCCACGATGCTCTGCCTGAAATATATGTCAAACACACCTAGAACTTCACAAATTTCAAACCATATAGAATTACATGTTCTAATTCTATTTCTATGTTTAAAACAGTCTGACAGAACATGCCCGCAACTGTAAGTTGAGCAACCAAATAGATATTTATCTTAATGAAATACTGTATAAATCCAAAGAGCTGTTCCTAAAGCTAACAAGCGAATGACAGTGGACATAAATACCTTTTGCAGGAAGCCCCCAAAGTTGGCCCCCATGTTGGAAAGAACCTTCTTCTTCTTGGCCTCGTCATCGTTCTTCTTTTTAGCCTCCTCATCTTCCTTTCTCTGCCGTTCTTCCTGAGCACGAGAGAATGCTAAAGTTAGAAAGGAAAAGTACTAGGGGTACCACAGGTGTGTACCCGGCCCTACCACAATCCTGAGGTACCGCAAGGGTGTGTTTTGACCTACCGCAATCCTGTTCTGCCGGTCCCGTTCCTTCTCCGCTCTAACTCGCTGCACCTCTGCCCTCTCAAACCGACGCTTCTCCTGTGGGGATGAGAGAGGGAAAGGATGAGAGGACAGGACTTTTGACTTTTTCATATCAACTTTTTCTATCATGAGCTTGTCCACTCCTTGACCAGGGTTGTGTTCTGTTGGGACGAAATGTTAAATAAAAAATATTTGAGCATTGTTATTGGACAAGTTCAGATAGTTAAGGTTGTACTTCCTCCATTTCAACACTTTAACATGAAGTAAACAGGAAGTTGACTCACGATTCGGTCCTTCAGCCCAATGAGCTCCTCCTCCTCCTTCTTCCTCTGGTCAAAGTGGACGTCAATCAGACTCTGCAACTCCAGGAGGTCTTTCTCCATCCTCTTCCTGTGGATGTCCTGGGAGAGGGAGAGAGGGAAAGAGAGGAAAGGAGAGGATTGAGATTAAATAGATTCTTATTCAGAGATGTGGTGTAATGTTCTGTAGTGGATTTGGAAATTTAAGGGCAACAGCCAATCAGGACCCAATAGTGGGCCAATTCCTTGATATGAGATGACATCACTCACATCAAAGTCCACCCTATCCCCCTCTGGAATCTTGGGAGGGGCTAGCTGGGGCACCATGGGCCTTAGAGAAAGAGAGAGAGAGGAGAAAGGAGGAGAGAAAATAAGTGAAATTGAGGATGAACAGAGAAATACATGTTTTGACCTATTTGTCACACATGCACACAAAGCAAAATTGCCACATACAAAAGTGAACATACTTGGGTATGGGGAGTTTCTCCTCTGTAGAGAGAGAGAGAGATAAAGAGAGAGAGAAGTATTAACACATGAAAGAACAGAAATATAGCTTTTGTTCTCATTCTGAAGATGTCATTTGAAATCCATAGTCCTGAAGAAAATAGAGGTCACAATTCTCAAAAACAGGACAAAAAGACAAGGCAATACGTTTTGCGTAAATCATAAATTGATGTCAAAAGGGTGTACAAAAAAAGATTTGAGTTACGCCTGCAGATCTGAAGTTAGTATTTGACCTCCAGAGTACAACAGGAGCAATAGCATGCACCATCATCATCATCATCATCATCATCATCAATGAAGTGTCAGTGTGTGTAGCTACAGCAACAGTACAGCTTTGTTGATGAGGCCATGAGTTAAAGAGAGCACATGATTCCTCCTTCATACAGGCATTTCAAATATAGGTTAGATTTAATGTGATTAAAAACCAACAAAATCAATGTGTACCTCAGGTGTGTTAGAATCACTCCCACAATCAATCTCACCTTCCTCCTCCTGAGCTTCCTGCTCTGATGTGCCAAAGGCAGAGAGAGCGAGAGAGAGAGAGAGAGAGAGAGAGAGAGAGAGAGAGCGAGAGAGAGAGAAAAGAGAGAGATATATACAGTAGATATTGAGAGAGAGAGAGAGAGAGAGAGAGAGAGAGAGAGAGATGGGAATGGTGAGAGAGATAGAGATAGGATAAAAGATTGAAGGAGAACATTTAGAAAATAAAAAATGAGGTAAAAACAAGTGCAAATAGGAAAAACAGAGGGAAGGAGGGAGGTGTGCGAAAAGAGAGATATGGAACGATTGAAGAGAGAGTAAGTTTAATGCAGTGGTGCCAACAAGCTTAGGAAAACTCACATTTCCCATCATGCACTGAGGGCCACATCATTGACTACAACTGTGTGACCCCAACAGCTACTAGAGGGAAATGTAGTTTTTTGAGACTTGTAATGTACAAACGTTCATAATTACGTACACACAAGAAGTAATCGCAAATGTTCTACACATGAGGATATGCACTGAGTGTACAAAACATTCGGAACCGCTGCTCTTTCCATGACATAGACTGACCAGGTGAATAAAGGTGAAAGCTATGATCCCTTTTTGATGTAACTTGTAAAATCCACTTCAATCACTGTAGATAAAGGGGAGGATACAGGTTAAAGAAGGATTTTTAAGCCAATTGAGACATGGATTGTGTATGTGTGCCATTCATATGGTGAATGGGCAAGACAAAATATTTAAGTGCCTTTGAATGAGGTATGGTAGCAGGTGCTAGGCGCACAGGTTTGAGTGTGTCAAGAACTCCAACACTGCTGGGTTTTTCACGCTCAACAGTTTCCCGTGTGTATCAAGAATGGTCCATCACCCAAAGGACATCCAGCCAACTTCCCTGTGGAACACATGACACCTTGTAAAGTGCATGCCCCTACGAATAGAGGCTGTTCTGAGGGCAAAAGAGTTGCAACTTAATATTATGAAGGTGTTCCTAATGTTTTGCACACTCCATGTATATTGTACATTGTCTCCACATAAGGAAGTGCAGAGCATAAAAAAGTAAAATACTAAGCAGCAAGCAACAAAAACAAGCAGTTGAACACTGAAAAGTACTGCAGCAATAACAACAACTGTGAAAACCATACCAAAAATAGATTGAGGCTAAATAGAATGGAATAACCCTATATGTAATCCATAGATATAGATCATATAATGATTTTTTATTTTATTGGCGTTTATTTAGTTTATATTTCTTTCTGTAAGCAATTGGTGGTATTTGAATAGATGGTATAATGTGTTCTCACCCTACCTGTGTACTCTTGTTGCTCTGATGGCCAGGACCAGCACAGGGTCAGCCAATGGAAGCGGGACATAAAGCATATTGACAGGTCAGAGTGTATCACCCACTAGTCAGGCATTATGAACAGAATACCTTGCTCATTAAGATACTACGGATGTCATCAGTGTCTCATCTGAGTGACCTCGGCTCTGAAGTCAGTTTGATTGGACAGACAGGTTCTGTCGCTGATGATGATTTGTGAGGTCTGTTCATCTCTAGATTCTGATTGGCTATTTCTAGACAGTGGGCTAATCATCATTTGGCATGACATCCTAGGCAATTCCCATGTAATCAAATCAAAGTTTATTGGTTGCGCGCACAGTTTAGCAGATGTTATAGCTGGTGCAGCAAAATGCTTATGTTACTAGCCTCTAACAATGCAGTAACTTGTCAAACAAGTACACAAATTATTTAAAAAATATACAGATAAACACAACAAGAAATCAAGAAATGTCGGAACGAATCCAATTAAGAACCCAAATAGCACTAATGGACTACCTCTAGCCAAAGTCACATAGAGCAAGTCACATGGTTCTAGTCTAAAGTGGTGTAGTGTTATACACGATATAGGGTGTCATTTGAGACAGCCATAGTTACTTTAAAGTAGTAGAGTGTTGTAGGGGATATAGGGTGTAATTTGGGACACGACCAGTCTAAAGTACTGTTGTGTTGTAGGGGATATAGATTGTCATTTGAAACACAGCCAAAAGTAATGCAGTGTTATTGTACATATAGGGTGTCATTTGAGAGACAACTAGTTTCACCTCCTCCATCCTCCTCCTGCGGTTCTTCTTCTGGCTCCTCTGGCTCCACCTCCTGCTCCTCCTCCTCTGGAGAGAGAGAGAGAGAGAGAGAGAGAGAGAGAGAGAGCGCGCGCGAGAGAGAGAGAGTAGAGCCAAATGGGGAGAAAGAAAGTCAGAGAGCAGTTCAGAGGACAAGAGAAGGGACATGGGGCAATGACAAAATCAAGGCAATGCGGTAGACATAGGGGAAAAAACTAAGAAAGACAAGTGTGGAGAAGAAAATGACACAAATGAGACGAGGGGATGGAGAGAGACATTAGAATGATAATGAAAGAGATAGAGGATTAAAGGAATGGAGGGAGATGAAAAGAGAGATGGAGAGTGTGTGGCTAATAGATGGCAGAGGCTTGGGGGCTTAAAAACCATGTGTTGAAAGCAATAGGAGCTAATAATAACAGGGTCATAGACTTCCACATGCAAGGCCAGGTGTGGTCCAACATTAATAACAACACTAACGCCTTAGCACAGCAGCCCACTCACCTTCTGCCTGCTCCCCCCTACCAGAGAGAGAGAGAGATAAGGGGGGGGGGGGGGGGGGGCAATAGTGTGTGTGTGAGAGAGAGCGAGAGAGATTCAGTTACCAATTCAGTATTTACATTTAAACCAAGAAAGTGGCCATCACAGCATTACATCGGTGGTGTATACTATTTCCATACTCACTCGTATTCCTCCTCTACATCAGACATGGCTGCATTAAAAGAAGACCGAAATGAGAATCAATATAAATGTCATATATAATCACCAACCTCTTTACAAGACAATACTCTGACTGATTATCTAGCAACTATCACACACTACAACTATAAAAAAATTAAATAGGTGATTTCCGCCCTCTTTTGACAGTCAATTTGATGGCTTAACCATTTCCCCCCTGTGCTCACTTAGGTTTAATTCAGTTCAAAGTCTTGCACAGAATTCACTACATTTTTTGACATTTACATTTTAGTCATTTAGCAGACGCTCTTATCCAGAGCGACTTACAGTTAGTGAATGCATACATTTTTTTGTTTCTGTTTTTTTTCATACTGGCCCCCTGTGGGAAACAAAACCACATCCCTGCCGGCCAAACCCTCCCCTACCTTGGACGACACTGGACCAATTGTGCGCCGCCCATGGGTCTCCCGAACCAGGATCTCTAGTGGCACAGCTAGCACTGCGATGCAGTGCCTTAGACCACTGCGCCACTCGGGACTACATCAAAGCAAAACTTTGTAATTGCAGTCTCACCAAAAGTAAAGCAGATGTTGTAGCATGCTGTAGCCCACCGACAGATCTTACTTAATTGGATGTCCTCCAAACCACCCACTGTATCAGCCTGGTTGAAGGACCTAATGTATTTTATTCATTTAGAAAAAAATTAAATACACTCAGAGGATGTACTGATGACTTTTTCCTGAGATGGCGACCTTTAATTTCATTTTTTAAACAATTACCCTCTGTTGATCAGGAGTAAGAATTTGGGCCAACAGGGGACAGGGGAAGGGAGGGGACAATATGTTGTGATGTGTTTTAATATTATTTTCATATTATTATTATTTTTTTGTGTGTGTTCCTTTTGTTTTTTTTCACTTTGTTGTTTGTTGTGGGGGAGGGCGGGGTGGGGGTCTTGATACAATAAGAAAATGATATATTTGTAGTTATGCCACGAACTGTAAATTGTATGCCTTTATATTTCCAATAAAAATCTATATATAAGAAAATAATGGGTGTTCACACGACATAGAGAAAGACACACACACACACACTCACAAAGGGATTGTGCATGTTGGACCATGGGGGTTTCTGCTATAAATTATCCCATGGTGCTGACATCTTCCTGGCTGACAAGCAGAGAGATTGACAGTGTGAACAGGTGAGAATGTTACGGCCCTAAACACAGAGGGAGATACAGTTTCTATCACTTTCTTCAGTTCCCCTTCTTCATTTCTCTCCTCTATTTTCCCTTCCTATTTGTCATCTTGAACAATAGACCAATAGATGACTTTGGTGTGAAGGAGTAAAGAGTAAACTTGATGGTACACAGCAAATTGGCCAGTGTTAATATTTCTGTGTAAAAGTTTTAGCATTGATTCAGGAACTAAATTCACCCTGTAAGCGTGAAATCAACACTCAGTGGTGTAATCCCCAGCATTGGTTTTTAATAACCAACATTTTTGTTTTACACTGTGGAGAGTTAAACAGTTCCATCAAAACCACGCCTATCATTATTATATTTCCCAGCATGCTATACTGCAGGTAGATTTTTTTAGGATTGTTTTTAATATCTGTGTCTTTGCATTGATTGATTGATTAATCTTAAACTGGACAAATATAAATAACATATATTTTACTAAACTAATCCAATCAGTTAGTAGGATTTATTGCACTCCTTACTGAAATGGTTGTTCTGGTTTAGTCTTTTTATTTTTATTTTATCAAGCTTCCTAACCCTGACAGTCATTACGAATGCAGGTTAATACAAATTCAAACTGTAGGATATCCTAACTCTGGCTGGATTCCAATAGGAATTACACATTACTTTGCCAGCCAGCATAATAGGACTTGCAGGCCTGATGTGGCCTGTAAACCAGGAATTTCCTAACACTGTGTTGGAGTAAAACTAGGCCATCAAAGTAAGGCCTTATAATATATGTAATGTAGTGTCATAAAGTTTAAATTTGTAAAACATTCACCTCGGTACTCATTTGGTGAAAGCCACAGGCCTTTAAATAGAAAGAATTCAACAAGAATTTAACACTAATAGGAGTTAACTCTAGATCAACACTAGTGTTGAATAGAAATAACACAGGATTAATTACCCCATAGTGTTACATTTGAGTAACACTGGCAAATGTGTAAATTTTTTACACTACCAAGTGTTACATTAACACACAAAATGTAACACTATAATCAGAATACATTTTACACTCCGTAGAGTGGCCCCATATGTTATCTGAGGTAGTGTTAAAATGTACTCTAAGTGTTGATTTAATACTGCAAAATGTACTGTGATAGTCGTGGTTGGTTATACTTGGGTTTGTATAATCAAAACCTATAGGTCTAGTCCTCAGCAATACATGCTGTCATTGAATATAATAGCTTTATAAAACTTTACACTTGTGGCCTGGGGTTGGTTCCAGCACATATCGGAGTTAATTAGATTGATTCCTGGTCCTTCTTTCCCCATTCCTTCTTTCTCATCTTCCTCTTGTGTCTATCAACCCCTTTTCATTCTTGTGTTTATCAACCCCTATTCTTTCTTGTGTTTATCAACCCCTATTCATTCTTGTGTCTATCAACCCCTATTCTCTTCCTCGTCTGTCTATTAACCCCTCTTCTCTTTTCCCGGTGAGGTCTCTCCACAATGGTGTCATCCTGAAACAATATATAGCATAGCATTGCCCAGGAAATATTTTTAGTGCACATAGCTGTTGTCGCGCCTCTCCCTCACTTGATTTTGTGCCTGAAACAATGTCGGCCATCCTAAAATGCCATCGGCGCCTCGCGGAGATTAATCCATCCCCCTTTCCAACGGGTGTCACGGCTAATGAGTTACTCAGTGTGTTTACCTCGCCAACAGAAGGGACAATGAGACGCACTGACGGATGGACGAAGGGACACATGGCGGGTGACAACATTGGTGGAGGTCCAGTGCTGATAGAGTTGGTCCTGTCATTACCTTGCTTCCAAAGCTCCACTGTGTCCTGTTTAACTGCTCACGTTAGTTTGTGGTACTACATTGTCATGAGTTGATTGACGTCCTTTCTTTTTTCAATGTATTAGGTTAAGTTTTATGATGTGCTCCTAAAAGCTGGTCCTGGATCTGCTTCCCTCTCCCTAACCATTACCACATTCACTTTAAGACAATTATCAATGCTAAATCAGTTCTCCCTGTTTTTACCGGCCTACATATTAAATCCACCAGTGTTTTAGACATGACTTATGATAGATCTAGGCCTATACCCAGTGGTGGAAAAAGTACCCAATTGTCCTACTTGAGTAAAAGTAAAGATACCTTAATAAAAAATGACTCCTAAGTAAAAATGTTCTCTTGATAAGTGTGTGAATTAGACCATTTTCCTGTCCCGCTAAGCATTCAAAAAATTTTACATGTACTTTTGGGTGTCAGGGAAAATGTATGGAGTAAAAAGTACATAATTTTCTTTAGGAATGTAGCAAAATAAAAGTAGTCAAAATATATAAATAGTAAAGTACAGATACCACAAAAAATGACTTAAGTACTTTACACCACTGCCTATACCCAAGCTTATTCCACTCCAACCAGGAACAGGGTCATGTTCATTAGGCAACAAGGTAAAAAACAGACAAACAGGGAGAGAAAACCTGGAACTGTCCAATAAGAAACATACATTTTGGTTTCCTGTTGCAAAACATTTAAAAACATTTTCCATTGCGTGCCCCAATGACCAACCCAGGAGAAGCTAGAATGGATATAGAAAAAGGGTGTGAGCTCAGCTGAGGGAGGGAGGGTTTAGAATGCCAGCCTAGCAGTAGACCTAACAGGCGAGGCAGCAGAAGCCCACCATTTGGAGCTAAATGGCAGATGGTTGGTAAGTGGTCTGCCAAGACTAACAGCCGGGATTTGAGGGAAGTGTAAAGTTACTCCGGGATATCAGCGGAGGGAGCATTAACGGTGGAATTCTGATGGGTTAATTTTAGTCAAGGACACCTTGAGAGAGGATGGGAGGCAGGGTGGGAGATTAGGGTGAGTCACACCGGCTCATTTTCACTGCTATAGGGGAGAGGACCGTATTAATAGTCCTAGGAGGGAGGGAGAGCGGGGATCACTGCTCCTAGCCATCTGTCTATCTATCTATCTATCTATCTATCTATCTATCTATCAATCTATCTATCTAACCTGGTGGGAACGAGGAGGAGGGAGGAAGAGACAGTTTGCACAGTATGACTGACTAGCTGACTGGACATTAGGGATGGCTACAAGTGCGAGGGTCCTGGCCTTATCCCAGCCGCTGCTATTAAAGTACAATCTATAATCATCCACAGAAGACAATATACTCAAAACACAAACCATCATTCATGACCAGGCCTAATAAAAAACCCACAGACTGACATTGATCAGTACATGCAAGAAATATATGCACCAACTAAAAACACTGACAGGGTATAAGTTTGATCTAACAGGTACAAAAACTGATCCCACAGACAGACAGATAAGATATTCCTAGCAAAACGATACATAGGACGCCAGTTTCCCAGACACAGCTTAAATGGAGTCTTGGACTAAACAAAGAGAGCAGCATCAAGAGGTGAAAGGTCATTCAGAACCTGGATGTACAGGAGGAGAGTTGGAGAAAGACTTACCGAGAGCAAGGTGAGGTTTCAATGGTGTGACAGATACCCAGACAGACAGAGGAGCCCAGGAGAATGACAATTGTAGTGAGAGACAATGGGAGCTTTATACAGGGGAGGGGTGGTGATGGGCAGTGTGTGTAGGTGTAGGGCAGAGGGCCATGGGCGGATTAGGAGAGAACTTTGGGAGAGAAAGACAACCACCTCCTGGGATTAAGAGAACGAGGGAATGACCTCACTGAACAAAAGAGGGGCAGGTGGAGAGAGAGAGGGAGAGACAGAGAGACACACAGAGAGCGAAAGGGGAGAGAGAGAGAAAGGGGAGACAAAAGGGGGATGAGAGGAGCAGACCAGGGCCAGAAATAACAGGCCAGAAATAGGTGGGATGAGTATTTTCTTCCTTCTCTTTCCACGAATAGGGTCTTCCGTTCATAGAGGGACTCCGGGAAACAAGTAGTAAAACCCATACTAAAGAGACAGTTGAATGGGGTATTTGTTGGGATACATGTTGAGTGTTTGAATGATTGTTACGGCTTAATATGGCTGGTGTGATAATGATAATGCATGGCTAATGTTTAGTGTGATAACTCTTAATTTATCAAAGATGAACTGAAGTGATTTGAACGTAAGCAGTCACAGACCGTGATAATAATAACAGTTTTATTTTCATTTACAACAAATGGATAAACATCTGACATTCAGTTTCTTCATGAAGACACCACTGGCATTGTCACCGTGAGAATCTGTGGCGAGAGAAAGGGGAGGGAGAGAGAGAGAGAGAGAGATGAGAAGAAAAGAGTGTCAATATCAGACATCATGTGTAAGGGAATAGCTGTACTGTGTTTTAGAATGTGTGTGTACCTGTGTGTTGGTGTTGTACTGTGCTACGCTGCCCTCCTGGTCAATGAAGAAGGGAATGAAACAGTCTAGATGAAAGAGGGAGGGCCGGGCATTCAGAACCAGCCTGTCCTCCCCAAGGTCCAGAACGAGGGAGAGAGAGGAGGCCTGGAAAGAGGGGGAGGGAGGGAGTGAGGACAAGAGAAGGTTGCTGGCTTACGTATTAATGTCATAACAAGCACCCCAAGTTTTCCCTGACTGCGCTTGACTTGACCAGAAAAAAACTCTGGGCGCTATTAGTCACTGCCACTTACAGTGCCTTCGGAAAATATTTTGACATTTACGTTACATTTTAGTCATTTAGCAGACGCTCTTATCCAGAGCAACTTACAGTTAGTGAGTGCATACATTTTCCATACACATACAGTTATCTGTAAGGTCCCTCCAGTCGAGCAGTGAATTTCAAACACAGATTCAACCTCAAAGACCAGGGAGGTTTTCCAATGCCTCGCAAAGAGTTTAATGGCTATGATAGGAGAAAACTGAGGATGGATCAACAACATTGTAGTTACTCCACAATACTAACCTAATTGACAGAGTGAAAAGAAGGAAGCCTGTACAGAATACAAATATTCCAAAACATGCATCCTGTTTGCAACAAGGCACTAAAGTAAAACTGCAAAAAATCTTGCAAAGCAATTCACTTTTCGTCCTGAATACAAAGTATTATGTTTGGGGCAAATCCAATACAACACATTACTGTGTACCACTGCATCATGTTATGGGTATGCTTGTAATCGTTAAGGACAAGGGACGTTTTTCAGGATAAAAAAAGAAACTAAATGGAGCTAAGCACAGGCTAAATCCTAGAGGAAAACCTGGTTCAGTCTGCTTTCCACCAGACACTGGGCAATGAATTCACCTTTCAGCAGGACAATAACCTAAAACACAAGGCCAAATCTACACTGGAGTTGCTTACCAAGACAGTGAATGTTCCTGAGAGGCCGTGTTACAGTTTTGACTTAAATCTACTTGAAAATCTATAGCAAGACCTAAAAATGGTTGTCTAGCAATGATCAACAACCAATTTGACAGAACTTGAAACATTCTGAAAAGAATAATAGGAAAATGCTGCACAATCCAGGAGTGGAAAGCTCTTAGAGACTTACCCAGAAAGACTTACAGCTGCAATCACTGCAATCCCTTTTTCCACATTTTGTTAAGGTTACAGCCTTATTCTAAAATTTATTAAATTGTTTTTTCCCCCTCATCAATCTACACACAATAACCCATAATGACAAAGCAAAAATAGGTTTTTAGACATTTTTGCTAATTTATTACACATAAAAAACGGAAATATCACATTTACATAAGTATTCAGACCCTTTACTCAGTACTTTGTTGAAGCACCTTTGACAGCGATTACAGCCTCGAGTCTTCTTGGGTATGAAGCTATAAACTTGGCACACCTGTATTTGGGGCGTTTCTCCCAATCTTCTCTGCAGATCCGCTCAAGCTCTGTCGGGTTGGATTGGGAGCGTCGCTGCACAGCTATTTTCAGGTCTCTCCAGAGATGTTCAAATCGGGTTCAAGTCCGGGCTCTGGCTGGGCCACTCAAGGATAGTCAGAGACTTGTCCCGAAGCCACTCCTGCGTTGTCTTGGCTGTGTGCTTAGGGTCGTTGTCCTGTTGGAAGGTGAACCTTCGCCACAGTCTGAGGTCCTGAGCGCTCTGGAGCAGGTTTTCATCAAGGATCTCTCTGTACTTTGCTCCGTTCATCTTTGCCTCGATCCTGACTAGTCTCCCAGTCCCTGCTGCTGAAAAACATCCCCACAGCATGATGCTGCCACCACCATGCTTCAACGTAGGGATGGTGCCAGGTTTCCTCCAGACGTGACGCTTGGTATTCAGTGGCGTCCATCTGGTGGAGTGCTGCAGAGATGGTTGTCCTTCTGGAAGGTTCTCCAATCTCCACAGAAGTACTCTGTCAGAGTGACCATCAGGTTCTTGGTCACCTCCCTGACCAAGGCCCTTCTCCCCCGATTGCTCAGTTTGGCTGGGCGGCCAGCTCTAGGAAGAGTCTTGGTTGTTCGAAACGTCTTCCATTTAAGAATGATGGAGGCCACTGTGTTCTTGGGGACCTTCAATGCTGCAGAAATGTTTTAGTAGCCTTCCCCACATCTGTGCCTCGACACAATCCTGTCTCGGAGCTCTATGGACAATTCCTTCGACCTCATGGCTTGGTATTTGCTCTGACATGCACTGTCAAATGTGGGACCTTATATAGACAGGTTTGTGCCTTTCCAAATTATGTCCAATCAATTAAAATTATGTCCAATCAATTAAATTTACCACAGGTGGACTCTATTCAAGTTGTAGAAACATCTCAAGGATGATCAATGGAAACAGGATGCACCTGAGCTCAATTTCGAGTCTCAAAGCAAAGGGTCTGAATACATTTGCAAAAATTTCTAAAAACCTGTTTTTCACTTTGTCATTATGGGGTATTGTGTGTAGATTGCTGAGGGTATATATATTTTTAATCCATTTTATGTGGAAAAAGTCAAGGGGTCTGAATACTTTCCAAAGGCACTGTATGTTGATTGGATAATTATTTGAAAAAGCTGTGTTGGTGCTGGGCTGGAACAAACCCCAGCACATCCTGTGGGTCCCCAGGACCAGCTAAGAAGAACACTGGCATAGAGTATAGGGAGGGAGTGAGGAAACAGTTTAACACATTGAGTATATGGAATTAAGAATAAAGTATATAGATACAGGGTGAGGAAACGGTTTGAGTATAGGTGGTGAAGGATGCGTTTAGGACATAGTCTACAGGGCAGGGGTGTCGAAACTGTATAAATGCTAATGATATGATATGGCTTGCGAGGGGGTGTAATCCGGCCCCCGGGTGGTTTGAGTTAAATAAAAAACAAACTCAATATACTTTAAAATGACTAAAACCAAATCGAAACTGTGTAGAAATGATAATGGACCTACATTCATACAGTTTCTTGACTGTCCAGCTCGCTAATAATCACTAGATAGTCAGGGAGCATCGTAAATTCCAAAAACAATGGATAGAGGACTATTCTTTGCACATTTTGAAGGTGAGGAAATATAACCGATTTTCTGTGCAGCCCTCCGAATGCGGCCCCTGGGGCAAAATGACTTTGACACCCCTGCTATAGGGGAAGGGGAAGAGGTTAAACACAGAGTATAGGCTGGAGAGGGATGTGTTTAGGACTGGGCTTGTGTCTCACCACTCCAGGCAGCTGAATCTCTGCTATCAGAAACTCTGGATTACCTACAGGGGGCTCCACCAGCAGACAGAACTCTGGCCTGGAGATGGATGGAGAGAGGAGAGGAGATGAGACGAGAGGAGAGGAGAGGGAGAGAGAGGTGGGTTAGAGCAAGAGTGAGAAAGAAGGAGAAAATAAATATGTTCCAGTTTGGTATGTGACAATCAAATCCACAGTGGACAACTCAGACAGACCTACCGTTTGGCTGGTTCTGGGGGTGTGTGAGTATCCCTGTGGAAAGTGAGATTGAGAGAGAAAGAGTGATTGAAGGGGGAGGGAGGGAGAGAGAGGAGATTGAACTCTTCCACATACAGACTGTAGCTAACTCTACACCACCCTCTAGTGGTGAAGTATTGATAACAGAAGTGAGTTTTGAGTGACGTGTGTGTGTGTGTGTGTGTGTGTGTGTGTGTGTGTGTGTGTGTGTGTGTGTGTGTGTGTGTGTGTGTGTGTGTGTGTGAATGAGAGTGCAAGAAAGAAAGAGCGCGCGCAAGAAAGAATGAGAGCGGGAGAAAGAAAGAGCAAGCGAAAACATACTTGGGGTCTATTTCCTGAATCACAGGTTTGCTCTTGGTGCGAATATTCTGTTCGTTCACAGAGCCCAGAAACTTCCTGTTCTTCAGAACCTTCCAGTCTGGGAGGGAAGGAGAGAAATACACATGAAGTAAGGAGAAAAACTGAGGGATATTACCTCATCTGGCACAGAACACGTGTCTGATTAATGCTCACACACACACCAAGACACAGACATGAAAAAATTAAATAGATCCATATTCAAGCTTACACACACTAAAGATACAGGCGCACACACACACACCTCGGCTGAGCTCCAGGTTGTATTTGTTCTCCAGCCCCTCTAATGACACAGCGATCAGAAACTGCTGGAATAGAGGATCCTTCTACAAACACACAAACAGGAGTTACACACACACCCCCGCACACACACGCAAACAAATGCGCAAAAACACACACACCTGGCATTTCTGGAAGAACTCTTCACTGATGACCACGTCATAGGCTGTGCAGCCTTGGGAGTCTGTGGGGACAGGACAGAACCAGAGGTGGGACCAAGTCACTATTATTCGAGTCACAAGCAAGTCTCAAGTCACAAGGTCAGAGTCTCAAGTCGAGTCCCAAGTAGAACAGGTCGAGTCTCGAGTCAAGTCCAAGTCGTGCATTCTAAGAGCAAGTCAAGTCACACGTTTTTTAGTCTCAAGTCAAGTAAAAAAAATATCTATACATGCAATGACTGAAAATCTTTATTTACTGAGGCTACCAGACCAGCCTTTTCATTATTTTGTCCACAACACATTTTGATTATGTAATTGTAAAATAGGGGCCTTGTAGCAGTCGTAGGGGCATGAAATCAGCAGAAGGCAAGGCTGGTTGACGTGCTCAGAGACGGTGTTAGACGGGTGATGAGCTGTGCCTGGTTTTCTCCAGACATTTGCATTCTGGCCAAAATGTTCAATTTGTCTCATCTGACCACAGAATATTTTGCCTTATGCTCTCAGGGTGGGTTGCACCACCATTTTTTTTATTAATCTAGGATTAGAGCTAATCTAGGTTTTGTAAATCTAGGTTTATAATTAAAATCAGAGATGTGTTGCACCAATTAATTTTAAATCTGTATCAGTAAATCTATGATTAACGGTTATAAACTATGATGAGTGACGTCACACCAATATAAGAGGTATTTCGTGAGTTGAAATGAACTAGCTAGCCTACTTGACAAATGAGGCCACAAAGTTGCTGTTCCTTGATAAAATAATAACAATGTAACGTTAGAACTAGCTACCGCAACTCCATTGTGAAAGGTTCTCATGGGTTGGCTGATTTGAAATAAATTCCGTTATTTACCAGTACTAGACAGAAAACTATTTTGTTAGCTAATGTAGCTAGCTAGTTAGTTTATAAACCAAGTTAGCGAGCATAATTTTTTTTTATTGTCATTACTTATTTAGCCATTAATTAATTTGTCCGCTAGCCACCTGATCATGGCACGTCAAAGCAGTTCAAATTTCTCCGCTTAAAAAAAAAACCTTGTCGGAGCTGATGGAGGAATTTAGTAACGTACTGGAGGATAAAAAGACAGACAACACGACTGTCAAAAAGAAGGAAGACACCTGGGCCATTTTATGCGACAGATTTAATGGATCGACACGGATTAAAAGAGAAGAGGGACCAAAATCGTATGAAGGCATGCTGGAAAAAATTAAAAGCGAAAGCCAAAAAGGATGCGGCAAAGGAGAGGCGGGGGCTATTTCAGACCGAGCCTCCGTCCAAGGGAATTGATCCTCTCTCCCAGAAGATATGTGAGATGATTCCCAGCAGTTTGCCCCTCTCCTTAACCCCTATAATGACGACGGACAACTCGACCCACCAATATTTAGTAAGCATAAATAACTGGTAAATATCAATTACTATAATGCACGTTAAAACTAACATTAATGCTACTTCACTACAATGTTACCGTTATCATGCCCATTACAGCATGTTGCATAACATCATCATTCGTACCAAGGCTGGGCATATCATAAGCCCCAATTCAATTGTTGTACGTAAATAGCCTACTAATAATGAGTTAATTTTCTTTCTTTCCTTTGCTTTAGTTGAGCTGACACCCTGTGCCGTGGAGAAACAGCATTGCCTGGATCTTGAACCAGCAGCAAAAACACCAGACAGGCCAAGCAAACGCCCCAGAACTGACATGAACCAAGCTCATATTTATGTTTTGGAGCTGGAGAGAGAGAAAAATCTACTGCAGATTGAGGTCCTGAATTTACAAAAAGAGCTACTGCAAATTCAGAAACAGAAACTCCTTCAGGGAAACAAATGCCCACTGAGTAAAGAATGCTGATCTTTTTATTTATTTAAGCAATTATTTATTAAAACAATGCTTTCCCAAGCAATTTGGTGTCCTCCTGTCTTGTCCCCACTCTTGTGTTCTGGTGCTTCCAGTTCCACCCTGTATGGTATTGAGAATAACAAAGTCTAAATAATACTTTTGAATACAGATAGCCTAATTAGGAATTGTATGTGTCGATCAAAATATAATATTGCTTTTTACATGTTACCAATGTTACATTTTATAAACCTTAGGCTGCAAAATGGTTCTCAATCAAAGTTCTCCTCACAGCATTCCCATTTGCATTGGCAGCATGTTGCACCTGGCCATCTTCTGCATTCTCCTCAGGTAGGTCCTCCTCAGGTAGCTCGTCTCCTTGTCTCTTGCCAAAGTTATACAGAACTGCCACTGCAATAATGATTGTCAGTGTAGTGTCTATCTTCGTGCGGAGCCCCTCCTTTAGGCACAGGAATATTTTTTTCCACACTCCAAAATCTCTCTCTATGAGACCTCTTGCCAGGATATGAGAGGTGTTGTATTCTCTCTCTTCAGGTGTCTGGGGGTTTAAAAGGGGAGTATAAGGTACTCACGACAGGCATATCCATTGTCACCTAGTAGGTGGCCTTCATATGCCCCTCTTTCCAGCATTGCACACAGACAACTATTGTCAAAGATTATGCTGTCATGGGTGGATCCTGGCCATCTAACTACGATGTTGGTGAGCAGTAACCTTTCCAATTACGGAATAGTTCTCCATTCTCACCACCAGGGTTGGGAATAGGAATGTGTGTATAGTCTATTGCCCCTAGTACACCTGGGAATCTAGCTCTCCTGTAAAATCCAGCTGCTGTTTCCTCTGTAGGCTTGAAACTTAAGTACTGATTCCTCAGACTGGCAATAGCACTGGACACTGACTATAATCCTGCAGACGGTTGACTTGTGGAGTCCAAAAAGGTCCCCATCCACCATCTGGAAACATCCAGTTGCGTAGAACCATAGGGTCACCAAGAGCTGAAGTAGTGGGGGTACAGCCGCGTTCCTATCACTCCCATGCTTAATGGTTGGTCCAACCTTTCTTTCCAGTTGCATTACAGACCTTGGAGAAGCGGTATCGCCTTAAACTCATTATCATCATAAAATTCAACAGGATTTAACCAGTCTCTAATTATTCTCTGAGGAACTCTGTTGTTTTGGTCTCTCCACAGTAGATATGCTGCCATTTTATCAGTTAAACCACCTCAAGTGGCAGTTTAGAATTAATCTCCAATCTAAATTTAGCAACAGGCTTAAAATAAATCTAGGTTTAAAGTGAAAACTAAACTTAGATTAGAGGAATGATTTAATTTAACTAGGATTAATTTAAAATCTAGGTTTAAAATTTGGTGCAACAAGATTCATAGATAAACCTTGATTTAACCCAGTTTAAGAGTTAATCCATGTTGGTGCAACCCACCCTCAGAGTTTTTCACTTGCCTTTTTGAAAACTCCAGGCGTGCTGTCATGTGCCTTTTTCTCAGGAGTGGCTTCCGTCTGGCACTCTCCCATAATGGCCAGATTGTGAAGTGCTGTAGAGACTGTTGCCCTTCTGGCAGGTTCTCCCATCTCAGCCAATGAACTCTGTAGTTCTGTCAGAGTGGTCATTGGGTTCTTGGTCACCTCCCTGACCAAGGTCCTTCTTGCCCGGTTGCTCAGTTTGGTCGTTCGACCAGCTCTAGGCAGTTCCATATTTTTTCAATTTCCCAATGATGTAGACCACTGTGCTCTTGGAAACTTTCAACACTCTAGAAATAGTTTTATACCTTTCCCCAGATATATGCCATCTCGGAGATCTCCAGACAGTTCCTTGGACTTCATAGTATAGTTTCTGCTCTGACATGCACTGTCAACTGTGGGACCTTATATAGACAGGTGTTTTTTTCTAAATCATGTCCAAACAATTGAATTGGCTACAGGTGGACTCCAATCAAGTTGTAGTGACATCAAGGATGATCAAAGGAAATTGTCTGCACCGGAGCTCAATTTGGAGTGCCACAGCAAAGGGGTGTGAATACTTATGTAAATTATATATATCTGCATTTCATTCATTTTGAATTCAGGCTGTATCACAAGAAAATGCTGAATAAGTCAAGGGGTATGAATACTTTCTGAAGGCACTATGACAAATGGGTACTTTGTCTATGGCAATTTTGACATACCAAAAAAACAGTAGGCCTATGCTAGTAGGCCTAATTGTTGCTTGATGCTCCATTGCGGGTGAGCTTACAAAGTAAACAGTTAATGTTCTTGATCACCAAACTATTTTTGGAACTGCATATTAATTAATTAATTAATTGTTTCATCACTTCATTGTGTGAATTGTTTGCCCTTTGATTGTTAGTGTCTATCAATTCAATTACATATCACCAGTACTACATTTACCGTTAATTCCCATCATTTCAAATGTACAATGTTTGTTTGGTTACGGTAATTTCTGTTAATGCATTCAATATATATTATTATTACAGTCGTTTACCAGTCCCATTGTCGGAGTGGACATGTTGTTTGCAGAGCTCACAACCCATGCTATACTTGTGAGAAACAAGTTTTGGTTTATTTCATTCCATTTACGAGTTTTGTCAATTTATTAATTGTCTTTTGTTTGGAGTGCTCCTGTCAATATTGAGTAAGGACACGCACCTGATTACGCATATTGAAGTAGGCCTAGGCTACCTGACCTGCGCGCAAATGTAGGCCTATAAATGTGCCCATTTGGGGATGTCTAAAAGTATTTATGATTGTCTTAATTCACCACCACTAATGAGCTGTGGAGCTTCTCAGTAATTTTTTCTTCACCTCAAACAGCAAGTAAACAAAGTCGGTTTTTAGAATCCATTGAGAATGACAATAGTTCCTTAATGTATTAGAAAAATATTTTAAATCTCTCTCCCTTTCGATAACCATTCTGCATGAAAGGGAAAAATGTAATGCTCTGATCCAGTGGAAACGTCATAAAATACCTGATTACTTCTTATCGCTTGCACGGAAACTCTGAGGGCCCCAGAATATTTTATA